CATTCTTATCTGCAGCATCCACTGTAAGATGCCTGCTTTATCCCTTGCGTTGCTCTTGGCAAAATCCTTAACCATTAATGGTAATTCCCTATGATTGCTGCCGCCCTCCCAACATATACGACTTATATCCATTCTTATCAGTAACGCCCACTACACTGGTAGCGAACCTAAAATGGGCAGAAAGTCTGAGAAACTGGAAACTCGTTGAGTTTATAAGTTTCTATAGGTTTCATAAATCTGATATTCTACGCGGATATTTTTTGTCAAGTTTTAAATTTAATGAGCACAAAATGGAAGTGACGATAAGTGTTGACGTTGAATGGCTGATTCCCAGTTTCGCAAATGGCCTCCAGTTTTTATGGGACAACAGAACTCAAAAGTTATGAGATGACACATTTCGTGAATTTGTGACTTTCATAACACATTGAAAGGAGTGATAAAGTAATCAGGATTTTAACTCTGGATGTATGGACACGGATTCTGTGAAGGGGTTATCGTTATTAAGGATAGGAATTTTAACGGTTGCGTACCGTTTGTTAGTTATCACTTATTATATGTAAGTGCATTTTATATATCCGCCGAATTGTTAGTTCATAGTCTTCTCTTCCTCTTTCCCCCTCAGACTGTCACGACTAAATTCACACGCCCTTCTGCAACAGCGTATCACCTACCTATTGGCTGGATGAAGCCCTACCAACAGCTGGCCATTATAAAATATTTTAAGTCATGTCAATCAAAGAATTCTAGTTCACGCATAAATGAACACCGTATCATGAAGCGTTAGGAGGGAGTATTTCTTTTCTTTTTAGATACAAAGTTTCTGCTTTTGCAGTGACACATCATGCATCTTCGCTATCCAACGTATTTTATTTTTATTTATTGATGACGTGACGATTTAAACAAAACACAGACTTTATCTCCTGTTTACACGTTTCTAGTGAACAGTCTTTCCTAAAAACATAATAACCATTTAGGATCATTTTCTCGACACCATTCGAGACACATCTGACTCTTCACACTTCTGGGAACTGGAGACCGTAGGAGGGTGTTTGTCACGCATCCTGTGACCAATATGAACTTCACAGATATTGTGAAACAAAATTCTTGGTTAACCGGTTAATGAAGCGGATAGCTGACAAATTTAGCCAGCCTAAACTTGCAAGACTTCAGTTTGCTGCAATCGTCAAGTGCCTCTTTAGATATATAAACCTGCTTCGGATAGCATTGTTAGGTTTGACTTTTAGGCGGCAAATTCCGGTCGTCATTTTTTGGTTTGGTGTAAACACCTGTGAATTTTATACAGAAAATTATCATTCAGTCGCTGAAATTTACTATAAAACGTGAATCACCGCACAATGAATGATTACAGGAGACCAACCAGCCTCAGGTTGTCTAATCCTAAGAGGTAACCGGAATATGTTAATCATTTTTTACTCTGGTTACCCAATCGGGAGACTTCTCATTGAGATGCATCTCGACTGATGTTACTTGATATAAGGCAAACCGCAAGGATCCCTTCTCCACCTAGGTTTCGTGGTTTTGATGCCTGTCGGAAAGGCATATGTGCAACCTCGAGGGAACTGATGTCCCCTAAGAAATCTCGATTCGTAGATGCGCTCAGTAACGAGTGTAGATAAGTACACAAACTGGGTCCACGGCTTCCTGCCGATTACTTCCAACCATTAAACGCAAGATGTTGTGTATGCTTAATTGTTGGTTGGTATAACTATTTAAAGGTTGCGACAAAAGGGACTAAAGTAACTAAGAGAAGTAATTTCTCACTGGCAAGTTATACCCCATGCTAACTTATTTGACAGTTGCACAGCAAGGTGGAACAATATTATCTACAAAATGTATTGAATAAAATTCTAACCAAGTGGAGTAAACAAATTAGATGTCCTGCATGTACAATTTTAGTGTATGCTTTGTATTTTGTAGCGGCAACGGTTTTTAGAACAATATAGAGAATAAACTGATGGGAATTCATCCTATTCTCACTGTATTATTCACAATGTACCTGAATCATTTCGATTACAGTATTTTAAGAAGAAAGTGCTGTTCTCGCTCACCCTGATTCTACGTCTCAAAGCAGTGGACCATAGATTATTTCTTCTGTCAGCATCTGTACAGTGCTGTTAACGAGAGAACGATGTTCGTTACTGTAGGAAATTTCTGTTGTGCTTAGAGAAGCCTTTCAATTGGTGTGCGGCCTTAACGGCTTATTCCCTCTCCCACTGTGATGAGCTTCAGCGGGATACAACTTCCCCGAAACTGATAGATTAGGGTCTTATGAGTTTCAAAATTGATGCCGACCTTCATGGTTTTATCAAGCTCCATTGGCTGAAGCCACATAACCAAACACCCACGCCATTTGGCAGGCTGACGTGCTACGTTGCACTGCTCGTAATCGACCCACTAGTCAGCTGGTTGGGGGGCGTCGGTATTTTGGCACGACCTCTCAAATATACTGTTCCATGTGACTACGCCATTGCGTTCTTCTTTGCTCTCGTATCCGTGTGTGCACCAACAGTACGAATGATCGCTGATTGGTTTCTGTGTCTGTGTATTTCGCACAAGGATAATTCTTAAGCAGTCACCATCACCGTTACCTCTAGCCTACTTATGAGATATTTCGAGCGGATGAAATACAACACGCTTCTCTATTTCATAATTGTAGTATGAACTTTTTGTGTGAAATGATGGTTTCCAAGATCAGTTTGGACTGTGTTCAGTGTGATAGAGAAACTATTAAAGGTACTGATCATCAAGTTAATAACGCGGGATGCAAACAGACATGTTAAAAATATATGTAGTCTTAAGTGAGCAAGAAAGGCTTGATAGAATCACTGAATTATTCACTGGGTATGAGTTTAGGGCCGGGATAATGGATGCTAGATCCCCTACCAAATAAGGTAAGAACACTTTATTTTTCCCCTGCATCTCCGATTCACGCCTTTGTTTTTTCCTTCATCCTCAGCATTCTCATGATGGCCAGGAGGGTCGCTATCGGCAAACTTGCACATGCCCATCTAATCATTCTCTATTGTCCGGAGGAAAATACATTGTTGCCAGTCTCAATAAATCCTTGCAAAGAAGGCTAGGTATGTATCGTTATATTTTATACCCCCCATCAGCTTTCACGGGGTGTAACTCACTTGCCAACCACCTACTTCATGCATCCTAACCATTTTGGTCTCCTTAATCCTCCCTGTGTAGGAATAATAATTCGCCGCCGCTGGCTGCGCTCTTTTCGACTTCGGGGATATAAGAACCGTAGCAAGGCATTCTAATGTAATTTGCTGTTCTTCACTTTCTTTACTTTCCTCATCTACAAGCATAAATTCGACCCTCAAAGTGAGCGAATGGCTGCACAGTGGTGTGGACAGGAATATAGCGCTTCACACCGAGGGTGTTCCATGGGCTCTCGTCACTTCTATGAACTTACAGGTGCCCAATTGAACACAAGTCCTGAATATCCTGCCACATATTTGTCAGACGTCATCCCACCTACGATAAAGTGGGGGGGGGATTGGTCATGCAGTGCAGACGTGAGATTATCTAGGACGATTGTTCCGTATCATAAACATTTTGGTTTATTATTTTAGGAAATGAATTTATAGCTATCTCATTAAGGCTGTTTGGATTACTCAATGATGACGTAAACATTCTCTATATTTCTGGAGCGCATTCGAAATTCGTAACTAACTTGGTGACCTTAATTCCATATAGGACTTGTTTATTTGATTTATGATACACGGTGATCCACTATTATTTACTTCATGATGTTTCGAGCATAAATTATTTCTCATAATCATATCAGTGTGATAACACAACTTTCGACACTTGATTTTTATGGTTGTGTCACCTCACATGAATTGTTTTCACTGATAGCAAAATTCTCCATATCTCTAGCATAGGTGTTGCGTCATTTTTATTATGTGTTGCATGTTGACTCGACGAACAAAGACGCAGTAATCAATCTCTTTCTCCGCTTAGTTATACTGGGCCTAAGTATAGTGGGTTTATCCCACCCTATTATTTGGTTGTGTGTTAATGCGTGCATTGCAACAGCCGAGTTATTTTCTGGATTACTGACCTTATTCAGATCTGTCATTCGATATTTAGCTAAATCCCAATGTTCCGCCGTTCTAACTGACCTCGACCGGGAAGTTTTACCCACATACTTGACCTCACAGTTATCACACTGAATTTGACAGATTATACTACTTTGCCTAATTGGTTCTTTTGGATCCTTAACTCGACGGAGCTTATCTCCAGGGGAGTTTGTAGGTTTAAATGCCACCCTAATCCCAGCTTTGTTGAGGATCCTACTTAAAGTTTCTGATGTACACTCCTTGTAGGATAACACAACAGAGGCTGTGAACTCCTTTTCACTTGTGTTTTCGTTATTATTCGTACTCGTGCGACCGTCATTTTTTCGTTGCTTGTGTGTTCCTACGAATTTCTTAATAAACCGCGGTGGGTAATTATTAGCCGTTAGTGCTTCTTTTACGTGTTTTAATTCCTTGTTTAGGTCCTTCCGGTGACTAGTCAGTTTTATAGCCCTATCACTTAGACATTTAACTAAACGTCCCTCGACTGACATTGGATATGATGGCTTGAAGTATAGATACCTTTTGGAATTTGTCGGTAGAAAATGAACAAGGAGAATTACTTATTCTAGATTGCAGGATAAAACGAAGCGTAAACGGTGGTTTGAATACTAGCGTCTGGAGAAAATGGATACATGTGAACAGGTATCTAGACTTTAAGTCATCCCATGCGATGTCAGTTAATCTACCTGCTATCCACATTGTTGAAGACTGAAATGTGGAATTCAGTAGAAACTTCGTTCCCCTCCAAAATCGCCAAAATCAAGCAATATGCTTCTCTTTAAAAGCAAAAAGAAGAGATTAGGAATTTTCGGTTGCTATGACTCACCAGAACTGTACTGCTATGCATACTTATTGTTTTAGTTTATGAAATATGTAATTAGGCGTGACCTTAGGCTTAGGAGATTTATAAAGTTATGTCTGTGAAGGTCATGTTATTCCGCTCGTTTGCCAGTCATGTTAAAATTGCTAGGAACCATATTCTCCCTACTTACTACTTCCAGAAAAGCCTTCCGACACTGAATGTTCCACAGCTTGCGTCTTCGCTGGACAGATATATGAAATCACAGGTCGCTATATAATGGCATCATCTTTTCATAATGTTTGTTTTTTGTGTGTAATTATAAAGCTTACCTTCATTCACGGCAGAATTGTTGCTCTTACAGGACAGTTCACTTGTGGAAAGCCTGATCTTCCTTTAATGTAATTTTTAAAATTTTTTTCGACACATGCATAAGTTAACTTATGCATTCCTTCGGGCTAAAACGCGAAACTTCTAAAATGTGCCTGAAGTAAATGCTGGATGGATTGTATTTATCCAGTCAATATCTTCTCAACGAAACGCTGGTCATTTCACGGAAAACATGTAGTGGAGCACAAGCGTGAAAAAACTCAGGGGAATTTTGCAAAATGGAACGCTTCGTCCCGCGAAAATGTTGACTGGGTAGGCAATACGGTTGTGCTAAATTACTTTGTCTCCGGGATTTTAAGATTGTTACTTATCTCATAGAAAGCGCAAGACTTTTCATGTTTGCTGCACGTATGATATATATCAAAGCAATGTTCACCACTTAACTTTATTATCACACACATATAGGTGTGATAATAAAGTTAAGTGGTGAACATTGCTTTCGATTATAACGAGCGCCTAAGTGTCGTAGCTTCACAATGCCTCATTAGTAATAAGAGATCACACTTATCGTCAATTGCTTCATGAGTTTTTATCTGTCTCCAACGTGAGACTAATATGAAACACCGACTTTCGTCTTCGCTTAAAAATATTTTCCGGACTACATGCAGACTGCAGTCTCATAGGAATCACTGTAAAAGAAACTGGATTGGTCATGCAGTGCAGACGTGAGATTATCTAGGACGATTGTTCCGTATCATAAACATTTTGGTTTATTATTTTAGGAAATGAATTTATAGCTATCTCATTAAGGCTGTTTGGATTGCTCAATGATGACGTAAACATTCTCTATATTTCTGAATACTTTGAGGTCTGTAATTGCCTTCAGCTTTAGCTTTATAGGTATAATGTATATCTGGTAAAAAAACACCATGACGAGTTAGATTCAAATTTCTCTTTTTGGATCGAAGGCTATGAGGCTGTATTAATCATTTTCCAGTAGATATCTGTGCTTGTCTAGTCCTCTTATAAACGAGTCAAATAATGACGTGGACACCATTTCTCCTGGGAGTCGGTTGCAGGAATTGATTACTCAACGCAAAAACCAATACTCTCCGAAGACTACTTTTGTTTGCTTTTATATTCTCCTGGTGTATCGTCTGTGGTGTTCCGACGTAGTAGGAAGGAAAATTGAAAATAGATCAGGTCCGAGGTCAATTCTTGGAATTCTGTAGGGTATAATTAGATCTCCTCTCCGTCTCTAATAGGATGAGGAAAACAGTTTTAACCCCTTAAGTCGTTCTTTGTAGGTCAGATTAGCCATTTCAGGGATCATACAACTAGCTGTCCTCTGAAATGTTTCCAGAATGAGTCATCTTGCAGACAAGAATTTGCTGCTTGCGCACAGTCTTCTGGAATTTTGCATCATCGTGGAGAACCATGGGGGATTTCGTGATACTTCCCAGTTCACTTATGTATAGGAGAAGCAGTAGGGAACCAATGACTGCTTTGCAGCACTTCACTCTCTTCCGACTTAGAAGAGATTTGAGAATTGATTCTTATCCCTTGTTTTCTACCAACAAGGAACTCTCTATCCCATGCAAGTAGAATGCTAGTGATTCCGGAACTTAGCAGTTTTGCAAGCAACCTGGAACGGGGAACCTTGTCGGGTGCCTTACTAAAATTTTCGAAAATGATATCTACTGGTATCCTGTCATCCTTAGACTTAAACCAACCTTTTCTGACTGAGAAAGTTCATCAAACTAAAGAAACGTCTGCGAAAACCAAGTTGTGAATGAGACAGTAGACTGTTGCTTTGTAGGTGGACCGCAAGGGCTTACTAGATCACTCTTTGCAGGACTTTAACTAACCTACTAATGGATGATACTTAGAACCTACTTTATAGATAGGTGTGACAGTGATGCCTTTCCAGTCATGGGAGTGTGCCTTCACTTGGAGACAGTTTAAATTTAGCAGGCAATAGGCCGGTCACATATAGTGCAAGCTCTGAGCAGCCTTATGTACTTCTCATTTGTTCCCGTTTGTTCTTTTACACCCGGAGTACTTAATGTCTGAAATATATCATTGCATTCGATGTCCACAGAGTTTATTTTGTTGGATTTTAATGCTTCTGCTGTTGAATTAGCGTCCATCGAAGGTCTTCTGTGTAAAGACCTCAACAGAATATCCAGTCAGAGCCTCTGCTTCACCCTTCTCGTCTTCAATCAAATAATTAGTGTCTGCTACTTCGATCAGGGTGGGAATACCGCGATACTTTTTATCTCTATAGTTCACGTGGGAAAATAGCATTTGATGGTATTCTACTGAAGCTGAGGCGAGAATCGTTTCGAATCATATTCAGAACAGACTGATAGCAGCGATATGTTTATTTCAGGCTTCTTTGTAATGTTTCTTCACCTCAGGAATTCCAAGATGAGTGGCAAGACTCCAACACTTTCTCTTAAGTCTTAGCAAACTTTGGTTTTCGTGGCTTATCTATAGGGGACAATGCTTTGATCCCTTCGGGTCAGTTGATGGAATGAGTGGCTGAATCACTCGTGCATATAATTGTTTGAAGGAGCACCGTGCAACACCAATTTGGGCTTTTGAATTGACTGTTCAGTCCTCCGAAGACCCTGCTAAGCTAATAGCTTTCACGTTCGCTTTCCATACATTTGATCTCATAAGGACATTTGCCTGACACAAGACGGCTGCTATGAGTCAGTAGATGGTCATAGCACGATCGATTTTACCTAGGGGTGAAGTTTGCATCATCTATATGAGCAAATAGTTAGTCTAGGACTGGTGAAGCATGCTGTTGATCGTATCGGGTTGCTAACCTAACGTGCTTTACAAGACCCAAGGAAATTGATGTTTCCATTACCCATAATAAAATGAATTTTGTGATACTTTTGTTGTTAGCTTGGTTTAGTCAACTGATTGTACACTGAAGTCTCATACAACTAGGCATCTGAAATTGTTTGTCCGTCAAGTTAGTTTATTAGAAAAGTCTTCCATCTCGCATCCAGGGCTGCAATATACTACGACTAAGTTAACATCTTGTCCTTTTTAATTTAGTCGGCAGCATGGCATTTCAAATATCTCACTTTCGTGTGCTACCGTTTCAATGGTTCTTATAGTTAAAGTATTGTTCATGTAAAGGATGATAGAGCTATTTGTGCGTGTTAATCTACCACTTCGAAAAGGAACTAAGCCATGTAAATGTGTCTCACTATCATTGATCTCAGAAGAGAGCTTCATCTCTGAACTAAAAATGAAATTAGGGATTTGTATGCTTATTACACCATTAAGCTTTGTACATTTGCTTAGGAGACTGCATGCACTTGTATACAGAACGATAAAGCCACCTAAATTAGATTTTTCCTAGCCACAGTGTTTGGAGTTATTTGTTGCCGAAGCCTCACTGTGAGAAAACCCATGACGTTTATATCTTTCTTCCGTGCCGTTAGTTAGGAATTCTGTTCTGCTTCTCATCTTTTGATTTGGTCGGCTAGAACCAAATCCTTACGAGCACTGCGGTTCCTTGAGGTCTATGAGCATTCTTTAGTATCTGTTCTCTCTCCCCTGCTGATTTGAATATGGCTTTAAGTAATCGAAACCAGTTTTTGGTAGAGACTGCCTCTTTCTTATCCGCTCTATCTATGTTGGGCAGGGTGACTTATGGTATGTTTTCCGGTAAAAGCTTGCTTACCAAACTCGATACTGATAGTCTCGGAGTGGAGTTTCATCCCCTCTTGTGCACTTATCATCGTTAATTCGGACGGTGGACTGAGTGGAGACTACGGCTAGCATAGTTGGCACTGATAATGCTTCACCCGTGTCTCTTTCATCAGAAGCTGGCCTGGTCTTACGGCTGGTAGTTTCTAGACTAGGTCCGCTAGCTCTTGGGTTGCTAGAACTAGTAGATACTTGCTTTACCTTGATTTGTAGCGTTTTCTAAGTTGCCATCAACAAACCTTTTAGGTAGTCTAAACCCCCAAGTTTTGGTCTGCCGTGGGACATTTTGAAGGCTCTACACAGAGACCTTTGCATCAACATATGCTTTATCATCATCGCTAAAACGTTATCAACTTTCCTTTTGGATGCTAGCTTCTTCGGGATGATATTTGGCAGTGATTTTCTTTCTTCAACCAATGAGTGAGCAGCATGATAGGCACAGCCATACACTCACTGCATTACTATGCTTTTTGTATGCAGCGGACGTAAGACTTGTGGAACTATAGGGGTATCGAATTTTGCATTCGGTACACTGCATACCGTAGGCCACTGCAGAATGGCACCCTAGCTTACTACAAGCATCTCTGCGACACTTTTGGTTAACCATCTCGTAGAGGTTTAGAATAAATTTTTATGGTGAGCCTTAAGTTTTCATTCTTAGGTCAACAACTTGCTGAAAATCAGTGGTCAAAATTTGTGATCCCTTATAAAACTGATCTCGATTACATCAAATTTACTACTTCATTGTAAACAGTATCGTTTTCTAAGCATTTAATCCTTTTTTATTTTGACATCTTTGTAATGTACTCTTACTATCAACTGCTACTGATTTACATGTTTTTATAACTTAAAGAGTAACAACTTGGACTGATGTACTACAGTATTAAGCTCTATTTTCATATTTGCCTTCTCAGACTCGGGGTAAGTAATAGTTCTGCAGGTTTGGATTGTCAGCACTATTGAATTCTGTTTATAAAAATGATAGACTAAATTAGTCACCCAGCATTTATTAATGGTAAAGATTTTATAGAGTTATCCAAACAGTGGTAGACGAAATCGGGAGTAAAATCTGATGATTCATTTAGTGGGAACTAAGTGCTCAGACCATAGAGAGTTAGGCGCCTTTTCTTGGTTCGTGACTTGCTTGCCATAGTTTCAGAAGACTAACAAAATTATCCAAACGTTCGTTCCTACCTAGCTGACAATGAAATTCCCAAATTGGTGATTCCATTTGGTCTTATTTTTACACCTTTAGTCTCACGTTATTCGTTTATCTAGTCGTGTTTCTTAGTTGGTTGTAAAGAGAGCCAAGTGTATATGCAACATAGTATATGCAGTGTATTTCTGAGATTCGTGTTAGTGCCACATTCAGCTTGGGATGCATAACGTCGAAATGAGATATCATGTTAATGTACTCAAACAGAATTTTACGTACTTCCCGAAGTTTCTCACAGCCTTCCCCAGGATCTTCCCGAAATGGTATGTTTGGATAACCTAGTTACTTAAACTAGTATCGATAACGCTTCGAACAAAAGTTGTGTGAAACCTTTATTTAAAAGATTTATTGGTGAACATGCCTCAACTCTACTCTCTTTTACCCATATTCTATTTCCTTTTTCCGCTAGTAACTGGTTTGATGACCTTTAATCAGTTGTTTCGATTGCTTGGTTATCATGAATAAGTTTGAACAAATGTCGTTGCTGTGTAACAGCTCAATTTAGTGTGGCAGATAAATTCGAACACATTTTGTTGTTTACACTATAAGTTTTCTTTTTTCTTGTCTTGAATACAGATATTTTCTGATTTCCAGCGACACACAATATTTCGTACTGCAGACTTAGGAGCAACTTATTTTAAATACCCCCAAGTTTCTTGGCATATTAACTTTAAACTTTAATTCAGCTCATGGTTTAGTGACGATTACCACTGTATTTTGTATATATGTATATGTATATAGAGTAGCGAAATAGGATGCTCATTTGTGGGTCTTTTTTATCTTGAATATTGAGTATGATGATCGTACGTAGATAGTGATTTGTCGCTGTATTGTGTGACATTTTAGATCGATAACGAGATTGGAGATTACACATTTTATTGCCTACGACACCTTAAATGTATGCCATATTCTTGGATTTAGATCGAAGTAGGAATTCATCCTACACCTTGCAGTCATTTTTATCAGAATCATTGGAAATTGACTTGATATTGCTTTAAAATTGATCAGTGATTAAGGTTGACAGAAGACAAGGAGATAAACCAACGTAAAGCCTGATGGAAAAGTGCATCGGTTCAAGTTGCAACACTCCACAGCTTCATGCAAAGGGAGAGTACTTTGTAAAATAGAGAAACGGACAGAAAACAGACAGAAGAGAAAAGAAGTAAGAGATGATTAGCGAAAACCTTCAGACATATCAAGATGCCAAAGAGCGAGTACACTTACTCATTCGTTTTAACAGTTAACTGTCAACCAATAGTAAAAATAATAGCTTTAGTCCAAACAAGGCTCATGGTACAGTATGGAATTTTGAGCATTTAATAGTTCAACAACATTCTCAGTACAATATCTTTAAGCAAAATAATCATTGCATTTGAATAGCGTTAATAATAACAGTAATAAAAGCCACAATGTGAAACAGGCACCTGGTTATTACTTTACCGTATGATTTGGGCTTATGAATGAATCGAATATCGAGCGTAATTTTGGTGGTGATAGTTTATTCAACCGGTACCAAAATTGTATTTCTGTGCATTTTAAAGCCTATTTCCTACCGGAGTATTACTTATTCTTTGCTTTACCTTTAGCTTGAAAAACGGCAGTTTGAAGCCATTTTAAAAATGTGTAACAGTACTTGACGCGTTTGAGGCTTTTTTAAAACATTAAAACAGATCGCAAGTGAAGGATTTGATAAAATAAATTCGTTGGAAAATTTTCGGTAGCCAAAATTTTAAGCAGACTACCGGGTTTGAACACCATCCCACCTACCGATGTTCAGGTAGTATCACTAGCTTCCATTCGAGGGGTGTCGCTCATTGTGTGCTGTACGAATGTACACAAGGTTGCTGAGAGCACTTCAATTTCTTTCCGACACCATTGTAACTAATTTCGTACTTTGTCAGCAAAATTCTCTACTCATTGGTTTCAGTCCTTTCCAGAACTTAAGCCAAGGTATCTACTTCTGTCTACATGGCTCAGACCACCAGACAAAGCTTTGGTGTACTGATACCGTACATTGGTCTGGCCATCTTTAACCTTCTGACCCACCCTGCTTCCGACAATATTGCATGTCGAGCTAGTCTGTGGCTCAGCTCATGCAGCACATATTCAAGCTATCTTAGTTGATGAAGGTTTACAACTTCATCGACTGGCTTGGCTTCCTTGCCTAGTACCGTCCACCTAGCTTCTCCCATCGCACGATAGGGAAATTGACGACGACCATTTTAGTTTAGCATGATTTGTATTGGTATAATAGCCTAATGGGGTGTCAGAATAACTAGCAGTGGATCAAATGCATCCATTGATTATTTTGCTGCAGTTCAGTATGTTATTCTACACCGTTTCCCCCCATCTTAATTCGTTTGTTTTTTCTCTTTCTCGAACTCCAGGATTCTATTTCGATTTTGTTGACATTTTCTTTCTACACTATTTGCAAGTGGTAGCCATTTGGGGTGATGTATTTATGCTAGTTCCCGTGATATTTTCCTTTATCTGTGTGTAGACGTATTTCTAATTTGTAACTGATGTATTCTTTACTGTCTCATTCATAATGGAATTTAACTTCTGGGGTCAGTATTAGTTTACTACCATCAGAAAATACCATATTGAAATTTATTCAGCTTTTCAAGATCACCCTACAAAAGTAACCCCAAAAGAGATTCCTGGGAACCAACGAACAGATTTAGTTACCTTACAAAAAGAACGTTGGCGAGATTTTAGGTAGATTTATGAAGTTTTTAAGAATCATTGCAGCTCTCAAACCTACAAAATTTCTTTGCTCCATTTTACGTAGGCCAAAAGACAATAATAAAGGAAAACAAGCTCAGTGTTACCTACAAAAATAAATAGAAATTTCAGAAAATATGGGACAAAGTGGCAAACATTTTTGTGTTCGTCTACATAAATATCAGATAGCAAGGAAGTTCCACGATATATCTCCGATTATACCAATGCATTTAGATAGTTGAGTTCAACTCGGAAAATGTGAAAACTTGGGTAGAGGAAATAGGAAAAATGCCAGGAGAGTTTTATAAGCTTGGCACTCAGGTCAGTCAGTCATCAACAGATATATTGATGTTGACTCAATCTATCAACCAATAAGAAACACGAGAAACAACTAGAAAGTCAGAGCTCATATCATCAGGGCAGCCGATCGAAGTGTGTATGAAAACATTGACGAGATTATAGTAGAAACAACCTTTCATACCTAAGGTCATCAGGACAAGTTGCTAAGCCACTTACAAGGAAATTCTCGAAGCTTACTTCCTGAAGTTTGTACTGATGACTAAACCATCCAACACAAAGAACCCAACATCACAAAAATAGTCCAATAGTAATGTATATCGGACTGCACGAAGCCATTAGTATCTTATATTTTGGGAAGAACAAAATATCAGAGCAGATGAAGAATTTAAGCTACTAGTCAGTAAGTGTTTGAAGCAAGGGATAACAAATTGACATAAAAATGCTGTATGAATGCTACATACTTTGGCTTATCGTATTTACAACAAACGCAGGTAGGAAATAGTGACGCTTCAAGCATCAAGATAAGTTTGAATGATGAATTTTCGTTATGCCTAAGTGTAAGTTGATGACTGTTTACTTTTATAGACACTAATCATTGTTCTGTTCATATGGCTTTCTAGCAAGCACTTCTCAGTGATTCAGAACTACAGTACACGTCAAAAGTTGTCACTGAATTTTTGCATGGAGAAGGTCGCAGATTACAGATATCTTTGGAGGACTTTGCTAAATCTAATCCCCATACTAGTTATATTGCTAATATGTGGTCTCAAATGTATTTGCGTGATCGTCAACCAGTTGTTTTAACCAACAATTCTGTAATGGTGTTTAATAATACAGAACTGGGTAGAGGGTATGATCATGTGAGTTCCTATTCTCCCATTAATGACTCCCGTTAATGTTTTTCACTTACTTCTTAGAATTTCACTGGCGTAAACTATTGTTTGAGTGTTAAATGTGTGTAAAGGCTTGTTTGGATCTATGAAAACTTTTCCAATGAAGTATACCAGTGAGCAGCACGAATGTGTAGAAACCACACATGATGATCTGAACCTGATACTGACAAATTGAAGTTACAGAAATGTAAGACCGTTTCCAATTATTACCAGCTTCATCTGAACTCACATAATCGAGTCACTTTAAGTCAGAAGACTTCCTTATTTTCTCATAGTAATAATAGATGACTCTATATTTCAAAGTCAAATATTAATAAAGAATATTTTTTTAGTAGCTTCTCGTCAGTAACTGCAGTTACAAAATCAAATTCGTTAACAATAATGATAGCGAAATTTACGGTCAATGCATTTTTAAGGTGGGTATGAAATCATAATTTAGATGCATGCGAACGCAGCCCTGCAGGATCTGAGCCCTATGAGGTGTGGAAGCCACTCAAATACAGACTGACGAAAGCCTAAACGATGACTGCGGAGAGGGATGAATATGATTATTTGTCCCTTGGGTTCCTAGTGAAACATAGGGCTTCAGTATCATGTCTCCATTTCACTCTGTTCTCTGCAGTCTTTTGAACTAGCCCCCACCACTGCCCGCAAGCTTTCACTTTTTCCTCACATGATCTCCTCCATGTCTGCCTCGCCTCGGACGCCCAACTCGTCATTTCCCATCTGGGTTCCACTCGAGTGCCTGGCGGGTGATGTCCTCAAATGGTCTTTCCAGTGTATGCCCAATCCAATCTATCTACACTTTCTTCCGCATATTTGTTGGGTGGTAGGTTCTTGGTTGGTTCGTTGCCAGTCAGAGTTTCTTGTTGCTTATTGTTTCTGGCCATCCACCTGATCCTCAGTGTCAGTATCGAGCCAACGTAGGCAGCTGTTGGTGAGGCATGTCTGTAGTTTGTTGGAAATGCCTTTCGTAACGTGCCAAATTTCTGAACCATATAGATGCACCGACTTGATGTTGGTGTTAGAAATCTAGATCTTTTTCACGCTTTATGCTGAGTGCAGTAGACCTCCGCACTGGTTTCCGACTAATGAAGTCCGGTCTTGCTGTGTTTCGGATCCTGGCTGCTTTGATATCCTCATCTGTGCCTGTGCCACCTGTGGTTGGAACGATGCTGCCTAGGTAAGTGAAAGAGACTACTTCATTTAGGTTTCTCCCGTTGATGGTGATTGGTGTATGTTGTTGTCAATGTTAGTTGGCAATCTTTATCAGCCCTGTCTACTCTACGTTCACTTGAAGTCCCGTCTTCGGCGCTCCGCCTCTTCTGTCAACTTGTTAGTTTTTGCCTGTAGATCTTCGAGTTTGTGTGACAAGACATTAGACATCAATCATCACCGGAGAAGTCCAAATCTTCTTCGAGGGTCTTTTCATCGGTCCAGCGTATGCCCATCTTCTCGCTCTCCACGGTTTACTGCATGATCCAGCCGACCACAATCAGGAAGACCATCGGTGATAATGGGTGGCAGCCTTGTCTTACTCCTTCCTGTCTTCACTTCAAAAGCGACACTGAGCTTTCCACTGTGAATCACTTGGCATGTGGCGTCCTCACATAGCTGTTAAATGAGTTTGATAAAGGTTTGTGGCAGTGAGACCGTAGTGTTGAAGCAGCTGCCTGCCAAACTACTTCTCGGTTGACACTGTCGAAGGCCTCTTCAAAGTCGATGAATTTGAGGTTGAGTTGAATTGAGTTGACTGGCATTCTATGCTCTGTTCTATGATGATGAGTAAGGTTGCAATTTGGTCCGCACATGATTTGTTCTTCCAGAAGCCAGCCAGCCTGTTCCGGTCTTAATTTTGAATCCAGGGCATCCATTAGTCTCTCCAAGATGATGCGGCTTAATATTTTGCTTGCCTTGGGTGGACAGGAGAGTGATTCCACGCCAGTTCTCTCAAACATTGAGGTCTCCCTTCTTCGGGAGTTCGACAAGGTAACCCTTCTTCCAATCTCCAGGTACCTTCCCTTCTTTGCAAACCTTCTGCAGTAGTGGTGTGGTGTGAGCATGTCTACTGTTGTCTCTGCGTCTGCTCTCAGTGCTTCTGGCGGGATTCCATCTGGTCCTGCTGCTTTACCGCATTTCAGTAGCTTTATAGCTGTCGATACTTCGACTTTTGTTGGAGGATTTGTGTTCACTTGTAGTTGTGTGGCTGCAGGTGGTATTTGTGGACGAAGTGCAGGTGGTGGTCGATTCAAGAGTTTTTTTGAAGTGGTCATCCCACCCTTTCCTTTGTTTCTCTTCTTTAGTAATTATATTTCCTTCATCATCTTTCATTGGTTTCATCTGTGTTGATCTCTTCCCTTCCAGATAGTAACCTGGTTATTTGATATAATGTTGTCAGATGTCTGTCTCTCCTACCAGCAGTCTGTTCTGCTTCACTTACCTGCCAGTGTGTCGTAGAAGTGTCTTTTGTCTTTCCGTGCACTCTTCTTCACTTCTTTGTCCAGTGTAGTGTTCTATACGTTGTACTCAGTTCCTCTTTTCGTTGTTCACTCCAGCATTGCACTGGTTCATCTTCTGCTTCACCATCTTCCTCTCTCTGCTCTATCAGCTTCCATGTGTCCATCGAGATCCATTCTTCGTCTTTCCTCTTCTTCTTCCTTCTTAATTTGGTCATGCAGGTTTCTTTCCACATCCCTTTCAAAGAGTTTCAGTGTTCTTCCACTCAGGTTTCTTCAGGTATGTTGCTCGATATCTCCCATTTTGTCTTGATGGCTGGCTGCCGTGAAGATTTTCTTTGTAGTTTCGTCCTTCAATTAGTTTCAGTTCTGGGTGTTGAACTTCAACTGTGGTCTACCACCAACTTCCTTGAAGGCTTTCAACTTGATTTGAAAGGCAGGTTCGTTGCACTAGATAGTGAGTGGTATGAACCTACATCTGCTCGCCTTCTTCATCTTGTATCCAGTAGGCTGCGTCTCCACTTTCTTCACATTCAGGTGAAGTCGATCTTGTTTTTGGTGTGTCCTGGTGTCTGGTGAAATTAAGACCATGTCGGTTTGTGGATATCCTTGTGCTTGAACACACTGCCTCCGTGTGCTCATTGTTGTCGTTTGGGTGACCGGAGTAAGTTATTGACTCTCGAGTTGACAGTTTAGAGAGTCCACTTCCATTCCACCTGTTTTTGCAGAAATCCAGCCTAGCACTTGTATGCTGCACCTTCTCATCTCTTTTGCAATCTGGACAGGCTTGCTAGGTTCAAACATGGTGCAGACATTCCATGTCGCCACGTTTACTTTCGCTTTGATGGAGGGAGAGAAGACACATCGGCCCGTCCGATTGGTTTCCCGAAGGCTTTCACCGACTGGTGTCATTTCGCCTCTCGTCTTCCAGCTAGGAATAAGTTTAATTTTATGTTTTATATTTACTTTGTGCTTTAAAGTTTCTTTAGCAGTTAGATTGATTTTATGGGGGTAGGGTTGCTAGCTGTATGCCCAACATTCCTTCTTTATCCGGGCTTAGGACCGGCTAGTAACCAATGAACTAGTTACCTAGGCGAGGTTAGGGATGGATAATGAACGTTTGAAAAATGGAAAAGGCAGGGACAATATGTAACTCTAGACCTTCACATAGAACTGCCAGGCAAACTGGGGCGAAGATGTCAATATTCAGTCGGATTATAGTGACGGATGTATCTATGGCTCACTCCCAGGGTAAACGACTGGAACGATGGGCCCAAAACTTTCAGGAACAGTTCAGCTGACCGCTAGCTATTATTCCATTCCTGTTATCCAGTAGAATCCTAAACGCAACATCGAGCTACGACCCCCAACACTTACAGAAGTCGAGAAAGCTGCAGGCAACCTAAAACGAGAAAGACCAACAAGGTCAGGCAGACTAGTACCAAAGGTACTAAGAGACGGTTTTAGGGCTTTAATCGTAGGATTAACTGGTGTTAACCAGTGTATGGTAGTCAAATATAATCCCCTGTGGAATGGACTTATCGCTCATTGTCACAGTTTTCAATAAATGTGAGAAGTCCTCCTGTGATAACTACAGGTAAAAAAGGGGTACATGGTGTCTGGAATTTTAGGTTATATTACCACTTGATATCTACGTGAAGCTCAGGAGCAGAAAATCATGAATACCAGGTCGGTTTATCACCTACTGGTCAGTGCATCGACCACATACTCACCCTCCCACAGCTCCGAAACACAAACACACCTACTAACGCCAAACAATGACTGAATTTCTCGATCTGAAGGCAGTATTCAACTCCATCGACCCAGACTTCTAATGACACTGTCTCTTGGTGAAATGGGTGTCGAGTAAGTACACAACTCTGTTGAAGGATCGATGTTCGAACAATAGCGAGCATGTCAAAGCCTATGGTGACTTACTTTTCAGGTGAGTTTTCCATATCGAGTAGTACTCGTCAAGGATATCCACTCAACCCATTCTTATTCAACTTTATCATCGACCTACTGATGAAGGCCTCTCTCTCTCGCTTCATCTGATTTCACAGGAGACCTCTCAGTAGACCTAGAGTAAGCAGGCGGCATAGTCATGTTAGATGAAGACGCTGATAAGATGTAGAGTCTTCTGGACACGTCGAGAATGTTTTGGATGCCTTTCTCTCCACATAAATATGAATTGCTACTCTAGGACTGGTTTTAGCTGGCGTCTTGTTTGACAAATGGAATGGTTGAATGCGTTGACTGCTTCACTTACCTGACAAGTCGCATCAATGACCGATGAAACCTCTGCATGGATACCGAAGATCAGATTGACCTTTATGAGTTTACGCTAACTATAAGAAAATTCGTGATGTGTGATATTCTATTGGGGTTCGTGTATACTGCACTACGTTTAACTCTGTCCTACTGTATTGTTGTGAAGCATGGTCATTAAGGATATAGGACATGAGAAGACTGCAGGTGTTCGACCACCATTGGCTTTGTAGTATGGGGGGGGGGCGTTGCGGTATCATCACGTCAATGAAGTAGAAGTTAGCTGTAGAGTTTTGGTCAGGAGAGGAGAGTTTATTGATAAGGTCGTGAACTTCTGTCAACTCAGCTGAGATTTGCGTTACGCTCGCCTATTCACCAACTGCTTTACAACGAATTGTTGGTTTAAATGGATTCAAGATGGAAGAGTTATCCAGAATGAAACATGGCATCAGTACACGGAGTGTTTGACTGTTGCTTTGAGCTGTGTATTGGTTGGAGTCCGTCTAACTACCGAAATCGTTGTTTGGAAACTCTAGGTGACATGTCTGAGAATCTGTCTCAGTGGCGCAAATCTGTCTGCAAAATATCCTCATCGTAATCGTAATACTGAATTCAGTAGTTTCTTATTCCTGCATGTTATGTTATCACTTCTTCCTACCATTCGGACTGCTGCTTTCTCCATTTCTTGACTCTTCATGTTTGTACATTCTCGTTTGATGCGGTGATATGAGATGCGTTAACTAGGTCAGCCGCCCAGTAATGCATGGTCGGATTTTGATTGTGTTCGCCTCTCTCACAGTATACCGCTGAGCTCTACATTTGCTGAGATATTTCTACCGAAATTAGAAAACACAGTTGAAGAACGGCATTGCCAGCATAGATTTGTATTAGATATACGTTATATTTCTATAAATCCCAGCATGTTTGAACTAAACAATTCCAAAGTTTCACGTGGAATTCTGGTCTGTGCTTCTTCATGTATTGTCGGTACATGGGACAATACACTTTTAGTGTATAGTGAACATACTTCTAATAGTTCCATCCTCGACCACTTGAAAAGCATCCATCCAGTAGTTTATTTACGTACGAATGCGAAAGTAATATCTCTCTTCATTCCCTGAATATTCTACAGATAGGAAAAGGTGGTTTTTTAAAACGAAGTATATATAGGAAGATAATCAAAGCAGTTTGCACACCGGTTATGTATTCATGAAGTAAAAACGAAATGCGATTAGATATTTAGCATTAACAGTAAGATCAATCCACTCCGACAAGTAGGTCAAGAAGGAATTACAAGTTCTTCATGATATTTTTCCGAAAATCGATTTAACTTCAGTTAATATGGTCAACATTAGTTGTTTTAAGACGGCATTAGAAGTGTGTTATGTGCAATGAAATGTTGCTATGATTCAGTGAAACTCAAAAACTGGCTAATGTAGCACAGTTATCCTTTAAGATTGCTTTGAGGAGAAAAAAATTTAAGTGTTGTTTCGAAGATTATAGTAAAGAAACAGTTAAAATGCATTTTCTTTGGATATGAATTTCCTGTACATTTTTTAACTCTTTACTCGTACTTAAGTGTGTTGTCATAACTCCTTCTGAGCTGTTCTATTAAACTTTATAGGGAAATTTGATAGATTTGTTAAGGGTATCTCAGTTTTCTGTGTTCACCGTGTTTTTAAGTGTTGAAACTGAAAGTAATCTCAACTTCATGCTTTATTAAGAAGGTTGAATATTGTTCGTGTGTTTAGTACCTGAGCTCATGGTACACTCAATTTACTCAACTTAATTCGAGAAAGTATGCACCTTGCACACTGTACACTTGGCATTTTTACATTCACGAAATTTATCTGAAATATTCTATTCCTCGCATTACATACTTTCCGATCTACATACACCTGTGAAAATAAACTCAGATCAAAATCATGTACTACTGTTTATAGCCTGCTGTATTGTTGATGTGACATGGAAACATAAAATCAAGGGTTCTCAGCTTCATAGACTCATGTACTTTTTGTTCATAGTAATATACACGTGATAGCAAGATTGTAAGCCAGCTGCTCCTATTGTGCACTAGCGATGCTTATAATTTGTAGGTTGTAATTCACTTGTAACCTTTCCATGTTTCCCAACTTTTGATTACCTCATTTCACAATCATATATTAAGACAGAGTTGACGGTTATCTGCTTGTTGGCTAGCTACAGAATCCAGGACTTGCGTTTCGTCTTGTTTGGGACTCTGTAGTTGGATGTACCTGCACCCCTGAGTGAAATTCTTCCCACTGAGGTTACAACGCACTATAGCCTCAGTGGCCTAGTGGAAAACTCTTTGGCGTTTGAAGCGAGGGGTACTGGGCTCGAGTCTCATTGAGAACAAAATCACTTACTGGAGTGCAAGTACACCCAGACGACGAAACGGGCGTCCTGCATTCCGCTACTAGCGACTGCACAGAGTTTGCGGTTGCTTCAATCTTTTTATTTAATTCAAACTACCACTAAATTTTTGTTTCCTCCTTTGTATTGACTCACAAAAGATCGTCGCTTATTCTGTACTTGACAAATCTCTTTGCTTATTATCGTCTAGCCGGCAATCAGATCAACTAATCTGGTGTACAGTACTATTCATTTTTATAAATTACTTTATACAAGTGAATTGTCTCCACCAATGTATTGCCCAAAAGCAGACTGGTCTAAATCTGCATTTTTTCGAAGAGTGATGAGATTTGCACCACAAGCTTTTGCTTCAAATGTTGCTCATCTGTTCAACGTAAGTTTATATTTATAATTAAATTTATCACTAAAATTTAAAAAAACTAAGCATCAAAGGATTCTTTTCCTTTCTATTCTAACCTGCCTTCAGTAAACACATCCAATATATGCGATCTCTTTGGTAAGTTGTATTACGCGTTGGGTCATTGAACCCAACTCTACAGGTTGACATTTACGGGTTTGTAGCTCGTTGGCATGAATGATCGATTTTTATCCAATTAACATGCTCACCAATAGTAGAAAAACCAGAAATCAAAGAAAGGACGTATGAAGACAAAGCGAATAAAGGAATATTAGCCTCAAGAATCGATAGCATGTCATTATAGCTTGAACACTCTAAAGATGAGGGAGACCATAGTCTAGTTAGTTAGTTAATAAAAGGTATTATGGTAATGAAAAAAAAGCAATTCTGTGGGGTCACCAGTATTCCTCACTAGTGGCAGACATATTGACGCGTAGTTACGAACAAAAAGCTGTTAGGATAATTGTCCCTGCTTCTAAAGTGGTGAAGATACATTGATGATACATTTATTGTATTAAAGTCAAAGCCTACTGATTACTTTTTTTGACACATATAAGTCGGGTTATAAATGCCCTCCACTTAACTTATGAATTAAAGAATGATGAACAAGAACTAGCTATGCTAGAATGTAGGCGAATAAGGAATCAGTATGTATGCTTAGACATTCATGTGTACGGAAAACCTACGTATTCAAGTCGATACTTAGAATGTAGGTCATCTCACTCTATTTCAAATGAAATAGGTTCATTGGACTGTTCAAACAGTGGAACGAAATGTCTAGAAAGTAAAAGAGAAAATCTACAAGAAGAAATAAAACAAATAAACAGGACCTCATAAGGTGCTCCAGAAATATTTAAGAGATTTTAAGAAGATTAATGCGTAGACGGATAATATGCATATTAGTAATGGTAACACTAAGAAACAAGAATTTAAAGCCTTCATGATGTTATCATATCAAGAAGATACCTCAGGAAGTTGACTCAGGATTCTCAGCAGAGCTGGGGTTAAAGAGGTATTTAAACCTACAATCTTAGTCAGGAACAAGTTTTGTAGGATGATGGATCGATCCTATAGAGTTTGTTAGAAAAGTTAGTTTAGCAAACTCCATGCAACGATCATAAGGTCAAAGTAGTCGACCGGGGTCAGTCAGAATAACAGCGCACGAATACTTGACCAAATCTAGAATGATATATCCTAAAAAGATAAGGAAACTTGAAAAAACCTCTCCCGTTTAGATGTGTGTGACCACACGTGATCATACAATGAAATGTGATAAAGTGACTATTGAAAACTAACTAATCAGGATTAAGGGGAAGAATAACAACTGAAGCTTTGTTTTTCAAATAAATATCGGTATTTCTTCTAGGATATTTCATCCTTTGGTTAATTGTGCTCATCAGCAATTACTTCACTATGAAAAGAGTGCTGAATAAGGTCACTTAAGCTGGTGATTAGACGCCCATAAACAAACATCAAAACCCTTGGAGCACCAAACAATTTTGGACTTTTTAATTTCCTTACTGACAGTGATTTTCGTAAACAACTGGTTCAATAATAAATAGTCTGTCTTTATCAGCATTAATATATAATACTAGGTATCTTTTTGAAATTAATATATGTATATAATTTCCTCTGTTCTATCCATTTGACGAACCTGCAAGGTTTATCCTCTAGATACAAGTCAGTTCAATAATATGTTCTGTTCCGCTCGTCTGCCTGGTGCTGATTGTGACAAACTGGTTAGCTTCAACCATTCACACCACTTACTTGTCATTCATAAAGGACATTACTATTACTTTGATGTATTGGACGAATTTGTGAGTCATTTAATTCCTGATTTCGTTGTTATTATCCCAAAAATGAACTACTTATGCATCATATCGACGCTGATACTTAAATACCGTGATTATTACCATTTTTATTACTATTACCCTATCCACTATCATAGTGTAGTTAAGAGTGTGAAGTTGTTCTACCTAGATAGAAATCGATATTATCAACATGAAACCTGGCATTATTGCGTAGCTGCCTAAGTTGCCACACCTCATATCACCACATCAAACGAGAATGCACTAACACGAGAGATAAATAAATAAAGGAGAAAACAGTTAAGAGTGGCAGAAAGTCATCAAAAGAGAGCAAGAATGAGTGACAGAATGCTGAAATTCAGTGTTACGATTAAGATCAAAATAATTAATGGATACATATCCTCTGTATCACCTGCAGTTTTCAACCAACGATATCAGCTTTCATACAGACCCCAACTGCGAAGTCAGCATTTCCCTACGCCCCTGAGATCAACAGTCTAAGATTTCATGCACTGATGCCATGTTTTTGTCAGTCCACCTCTAACTTCCCTCTAGCTTGAACCTACGCCAGTTAACATTTTGCGACGAGGTAGACAGTGATTACTCATGCGTAACACATTTTCCAGTCACCTTGAGCCGATCAAGGTGCACCACCTGATCAACAGACTTTCATCTCCTGACCAAAACTCTACAGCTAACTTCTACTTCATTGACGTGATGATACCGCAACGCCCCCCCCCATACTACAAAGCCAATGGTGGTCGAACACCTGCAGTCTTCTCATGTCCTATATCCTTAATGACCATGCTTCACAACAATACAGTAGGACAGAGTTAAACGTAGTGCAGTATACACGAACCCCAATAGAATATCACACATCACGAATTTTCTTATAGTTAGCGTAAACTCATAAAGGTCAATCTGATCTTCGGTATCCATGCAGAGGTTTCATCGGTCATTGATGCGACTTGTCAGGTAAGTGAAGCAGTCAACGCATTCAACCATTCCATTTGTCAAACAAGACGCCAGCTAAAACCAGTCCTAGAGTAGCAATTCATATTTATGTGGAGAGAAAGGCATCCAAAACATTCTCGACGTGTCCAGAAGACTCTACATCTTATCAGCGTCTTCATCTAACATGACTATGCCGCCTGCTTACTCTAGGTCTACTGAGAGGTCTCCTGTGAAATCAGATGAAGCGAGAGAGAGAGGCCTTCATCAGTAGGTCGATGATAAAGTTGAATAAGAATGGGTTGAGTGGATATCCTTGACGAGTACTACTCGATATGGAAAACTCACCTGAAAAGTAAGTCACCATAGGCTTTGACATGCTCGCTATTGTTCGAACATCGATCCTTCAACAGAGTTGTGTACTTACTCGACACCCATTTCACCAAGAGACAGTGTCATTAGAAGTCTGGGTCGATGGAGTTGAATACTGCCTTCAGATCGAGAAATTCAGTCATTGTTTGGCGTTAGTAGGTGTGTTTGTGTTTCGGAGCTGTGGGAGGGTGAGTATGTGGTCGATGCACTGACCAGTAGGTGATAAACCGACCTGGTATTCATGAGTTTGCTGTTTTTTTAGCTCTACTTAAACATCGAAAGATTATTGATTTGAGAATCGAGATGCTGTTCATCCGACTTTTTCACTTATTCTACATATCTGAGTCTGGCCTGTTTGTGTTTCTGAATGAGCGAGATATATACGCAGATATTTTATTTGTCACAGAAAATTACCTAATAATTGGTCTGGGATTTGGTTGAAATGTCATTTCAGCTGACGTTAACTGTAGCTTGATGATTGCGTGCGTCTGTTTAAAAGGGCTTAATGCTGTTAAACGTCCAAACATTATTTTTCTTGCCTAATTACCAGATATTTTTGATCAAGTTTAGTTTCCGCTCAAAAGTGACTTTTGAAATGACATTCAATGCCACTCATACCGTAACATGAAACATACCGGTAAGGACTCTTATTTCAACGTGTATAGTCACTATTCGTAACAAGAAGTAATAAGTGTGTCAAGTAGCTGCCTGATATGATAAAACTACGCTGCAGTTCACTATGTTCCCTTTTTATGGTTGTGAAACATGCCCATCAGCGGTAGATAAGATGATTAGGCTTCATATGTGACCACTGTGGCCCTCGTATCATAGGTCGTGTGACCTGTTATCACCGCGTCGGTAACGCAGAAGTCAGGTGTTGCGGTTTAGTGAGGGGAGGAAAGTCAGTTGATGCGGTTGTCAACCTTCCTCAGCTAGCACACGTTTTACGCACGCGTAGTCACTGTCTAGTCGCACATTGTTGGCTGAAGTAGGTTTAGGGACTAAAATCGAATATAGACTCGTTATGTGTGTGTTTACAGTTATAGATGTATTTTCGACCAAGGTGGTAAAGTAAATGAAATTTGGAAATGTGCACAGAAAATTCCTCCTCGGTTTGTAAGCAAACATGTGCACATTAGGATAAACGCGAAACATAACCGGTCAAAAATTGATGGATACGATTTCCTCTGTTTGATAATGATGATTGCTCACCAACCACATTTGTTAGGATGAAAATAACTAATCCTATCCTGCGCAGTGGTTGTCATAGCATACCCATAAGTTACTTACAGGTAGTGATTCGAATTATTCTCAAGCTCTAGCTTCATCTGAAAATGAAACTTTTGTTTCGGTGAAGAATGAACCGTCAAAACTGTAATCATTTGTAAGCTCATTCTACCTGCCCATTAGACGCGTCAATTTCTAACATTTATTTGACTAAACTGTTGACGGATAATCGTCACTTGGAGGCTTATCCAAATGTAAGTGGATGATGGTTAAAACCACTTGAAAACCTGAGCCATCACAGGATTCCCACCACCAACCTCTAGGTCTCCAGGCATATCCCTCTGTCAAATGTACAAACAAACAAACCAACTTAAAACCTTGTACATTAGTATATCAGTTCGATTTGCAACAAATTTGAGCAATGGACGAAAAGAAAGTAAATCAGAAAAGAATGATATTGGAGTAAATAAGCGTGTAATGAGAGAGAATGAAGGTTACCAAAATGTTAGAAGTCGTGATAAGGAGCACATACCTCAGCACCACTGTAACCGCTTTTGGGCCATATTACCGGGAATTTCTAACCACTAGTTTCTATCATCTTAAAGTCTCCGTGCATTTAGTGTACATCTTTCTACGTAGCTGAAACCAAGAATTGGGGACTTCATAAATCACTAACACTTCTTGACTTTGACGGTCCTTGATTTTCTTCCAACCCATTCTTGTTTTGGTCAACATTGTACTCGAATAATTGAAATCAGGAGTCTACTTGGTAACCGCGTATTAGTTTCACTCTAACCATGAAGCATTTCTGTGGATTGTAACATGAGTGATAATTTACCTTTCAACTGTCCTCAAAATAGCTGACCAAAATTCATTTTTGTTCGAATTGCTTGGTTCTAAGTTGCCTCTTTATGAAGTAATTGTTGAGAACGTTTCCTAGCGTGATAATAAAACGTTCAGGAGGCAACCTCAAAGCCCGAAGAACATCGAACAGTTATCATCCTCATACTGAGTTGTAAATCTTCTGGAATATCTTAAAAAGTCACTCTAAAAATTAATCTGTTTTATAACCTTTTTGTAATTTTTTAAAGGGAGAACTTATTTCCCCAAGTCAACTGTTCAGTAATCTACAGTTTATTTTAAAGCAACTCAAGTTAACTAGTCCACCACCTCCACCAATTGGTGTCATTACAACGATGCAACGTGACAAAGCTTTTACAACTCGTCAACGTTTAGTTGATTTAGGCAATAAAGCTTCATTGAATTTGATTGATTCTGCGTTGTTTATCTTGGCGTTGGACGATGAAACATCTACCAATCATGTTAATACGGTATGTTTCTCACTAATAGCTTGTGTTAAATTTTGCTGTTCTACTTTGGAGGTGATTCACAATTCATTTTCCTCATCAATCGGGTTCGAATCTTGTGGCATAGTAAATTTTGAATACTTTGTGACCGACTTCAAATATTAGCTCTGGACGCTAACTCTCTAGGTCAACTTATATGATCGTAAATGCCCTGTCCGAGTTCTGAGAGATTCATGTCGACGGCAGTCATTTATCAGAAGATAAACAGGTAGACTAATGCTGAAACATATACAGAATTTCATCAGTCTAAAACTGTCTTATTCCGAATTAACACAGAACGATAAAGGGGACAGAAATGAAATGTTGCTGAAAGTGTATGATTAAAGAGAGAATAAATAAGGGAGGCTAATAAAATGATTAAAACTTTCAAGATGTCAAAAAATAGATGGGAGCTCTCAAACCTTTGTAGCGGTCAACGTATTTTACTTTTTTGCTCCTTATTATTAAACTAGGAGTCATCATCGAAATCAACGTAGAGGACCAGGCATTACTGCGTAACGGTCCAAGTTGCCACACCTCATATCAGCACATCAGGTAACGAGACAATAAAATGGAAGATGGAGAAGGAAAGAAAAATTAGTCAGGAGAAGTAGAAAGCAGTGAAAGAGAAGAAGGAGAAATGAAAAAAATGATGAGGTCAGGTATAGTGGTTAAGATGATGATAATGTTTGTATACATCTGCGCCACCCACATCGGTTCTGAGGCATATAGCCTACAGTCTCTAACCAGTGGTTTCTCTTTTCGCGTGGACCCCAACAAGTTAGTTTGCATTGACCTACATGACCCAAACGAACAATCAAAGGCTTCATGCATTGATGCCATATTTAAGTCTGGCTGCCCTGAGCTTTTTTCACTTTGAACCTACTTCGCCCAATATTATGCGAGGACGCAGGCAGTGGTTAGGCATACGTAACACATGTTCCAGCCATCTCAGTTGATGAAGGTTGACAACCGCATCAACTGACTTTCCTCTCCTCCCTATAACTTTACACCTTACTTCTGCATTACTCATGTAGTGACACCATGAAACACGGTTTATACTACGAAAGTAGCGGTGGTCAAACACCTGAAGCTTTCTCATGTCCTCTACCTTTAATGGCCATGTTTTATGGCCATAAAGTAGGAGAGAACAGACTTCAGCACAGTGCACTCCACCTTTAATCGACAGCTGAATGTCGCGGCGACATTCGAGATGGCGTAGGTTGGTAAAACCCAACCGAGCCTTTTGTATCCGTGTAGAGATTTCGTCGGCCACTGGGCCACCTGGGCTGATCGAACTTTGCAGGTAAGTAAAGAGTCCAACACACTGAACCACTTTACTCTCTATTGTTAGTCGGGCAACTTTGAAGGTCAGTCCTAAAGCATTGCCTTACACTTTAAAAATAAAAAACGTATGCTAAACATATTCATATATTTGAAAGAGATATTCAAAAAAACTTTCAGCTTGTATGTTTGCCAGGGGGGGGGGGACTATATCATCTTCACACTTTAAATAAGCAGTGTGCGCTTCTAGAAAGAAAGCAATCTCTGAAAAGTCAGGTGGCAGCAGGATCACCTTTATCAGTACATCTAATACAAAGTTAAATATTGGTGACATTAGTGGAGATCCCTGATGTAGACCATTATTTGTCGTCGCTTTAGATGGTCACTCTCCATTAGCTCTTACACACCTACATGAATTCAAGTATGGAGGACTTATTAGCATAGTATGCTCTTTCGACAGTCACTTCTGTAGTAGTTACCAAATGGCTTTTCTCAGCTGACGATGAGAACTATTTTAGTTTCGATCATTTTTGTACAAGCCGTCAAATTATGTACGTAATACGACGGGATGCGTCAATATCTTTAGTGTCTGCTTGGTGTTTCTATTACTTTTGGGATGTTATCATTGCTGTGAACTGAAGAATAATCATCCCGATTGACAAACATGTAATGATGATTACATTGCAAAAGTGACGGTTTCCCGAATTTCCCATCTTTCCATGCTATTCTGGTTCGTCGGTGTTATTGTTCACTTTTACTCTGTTCGACTCTAGAATAGCTCTCAAAATGTTTTCCTGTTTTTCTTCATAATCATACATTGTCAAGCTACCGAACTTTCTCTCCGGTTCATCACAGTCTCGTTGGTTCGATAAAAGTTTCACTTTGATTATCAATCAATCTGGTTACGCAGCTATTAATTTTGAGCATAGCTGGGGTGATGATGCCTTTGTTTCACGTCTATTCGCTGATGTATATATGAATTCTGAAAAGTATCCAGCTGTAAGCCCAACATTGCTTGAAAATACTGATAGGTCAGTTTATTTATCACTGTCTGGGATCTATTCTGGTAGCATTCTTTTTTCTAATATATCCATCCCCCAGTGTAATGCTAGATTGATACGTTTCAGCAACGACTTAAAGCTGTCTCTCGTTGTGTTAAGCACTTCACTCATAAGAAATAGGTCTTTGGTTCAAATAATCCTCTACCCACTTCAATCTAAGTGACCGAATAGTATGATAAGCTGTTATATATTAGATGTGGGTTCATAGTTCAGTACATAAACATCTAATGGCCTACGGAGCATGAACCATATTTAATTATGCCTAAGGCATAGCGCTACCTGACTGCCCAAAGTTAGTTGGATGAAGTTGGAATTCCTACTGGTAACTTAGTGACTTCGAAGTTGAGTACTACACGCTACCATTTATCATATTTGAGCGTACCACCTTAAACTGCTAGACTTTAAGAGGCCATACGAATAAAAAACAATCAGGAAGAATAAAATCCATCTGAGGGTGAAGGCTTAGACATAGAGAAAGTAACCTAAGGCCTAGCAGATCAGTAAGCCATTTCTCGCACAATTCTATGAAAAAGTCAACAGGATTAAAGCCATGGAAAAAGGCGTTTACAGCAGTAGTCATATTAGAAACAACTTGCAAGAAAAGTAAGGGAAACTGAGTTAAAGAATGAATCTATGTGACATTTTGTAATAGATTTTAAGTATACCACTGATTCTGACTATGATGTAAACTATATATCAGTAGCTGGCACTTTCAGTCATAGGCCGATTCGCATTTATACTAATGATTATGAGCGTCCCACTGGTACCATACGTAGGATAAATTAACGAAAACCAAACAGCGTTTTGTATTTGTTTTACTATCTCATTGAAGCATTGTGCAAAATGGCTTATGCCAATCTAGACTCCCTATAACTTCAGCTTAGCTTGTTTGACTGAGGTGCGCATACCTCAATGCATTTGATTATATTCAATGCCTGTTAAACCCAGTTGCTACCATCAAACGACGTGCATCAAGTCTCTGCATTTGGTTACAGCTATTCCGGTATATTACTCAGTGTAAACGCCATGCAAAGGTAGAGTTGTCAGGCCTTATGATGTGTGCATGAAAACATGCTACGAAAATCGGAGGCTAATTTCTTTCTCCTAATTGGCCTAATAAATGAAAAACAATTGAACTCAAAAACTGTGTGCAGAGTTTTGCTTTAAGCTTTGAGCTACACTTGTGTAAAGCATGGCTGCCACAGTTGAGCAGTATGTGGTGGGGAGATCGAGCGTTCCTTCCCACTGGTCGAAATTTGACTGCCAATGCACCACAGTTCCACTACTTTATTTAGTAAGATCTCCCTGGTCACATACTAATGCAAATTAAGTTTTGAAGCTGGAAAACATCTTAGCTGGGTGATTAATTCGGAAAACAAAACCTTCATTGATATTTCTCAGTGCTAAGTAGTTCCTAAACTGTCCAGTTATTCTGTCAGCAGAGTTTCTGTTAAAAGCCATCTGGAATAGATCACAAAGCGTGGTTTCTGGCACATAATTACCATGAGCTGATGAAATATTTTGCTTGAAAAACTTGTATGGCTAGAAACTATGCTCATTACTTTTCAGATTTGAGCAGTTATAAAACTGCTAAGCTGTGAGAAATGTCAACGAGAATTGGGAGATGTATAGTTCTCTTGCAGATTGATCATTCAGTTGATGGAATAACTGTCCATCATAATCAGATAACCAGATTCAGTTCATCTGAACAGTTCGTTTCTGTGACCAGGAAAAATTCCCATTGAGGCGTTTAAAAACACAATGTAATTCAGCGAAGGAAATTTCCTTTTCCACGAATCATTTCCAACGGCTTTACAATACTATTCATAGTAATAACAGACAAACCGATAAGTCTGTTATCGGCCAATTGGTCAACACCAGATCATCGGAATAAAATGTTCTAGACTGAAATTGTGGGTTGATTCTACAGTTAGAAAGGGATCATGTAACCAAGTGTGTATAAGGCAAATATTCAGTAGATTATTGTGCTGATTAATAAATTAAAAATTAAACAGGTCAAAATAATACTACTAATTATGATGAACGGTCAGAGTAAAGTATTCTGAGAATTTTAATGGGTGTGGAAAAGTAAAACTCAAGGTGAAAATGAAATAAAAAATGATGATAGTAAGAATGAGACGAATGTTGAAGAACTGCAGAAACTCGAAGAAGGATTATGATCACGGCAAAATAAGAGAATGAACTTATCACTTCTGTAGGCAGGGCTCAGGCTTTAATTATTGGATAACCAACGCCTTCACTATACATAAATGATGAATCTGCGCCCCTTTTGAGCCGTTTGGTAAGACTTTGTATAGGATTTGAAAAACGACTGCGGGGAGGCGAAATAATCAGAGTTGACGAAAGTGGTCCAAGATGGGACTGCTACTTCACTTGCGTTCTTCTCTGGACAGCCAAACAACAAAGTGCTCGTATATGCGTTTGGAAAAACTGCATTTTGTATGGCCTACATAACCAGCTCCACAAGAGCAGGTGGGCTCATAGAGAGACATGAATGTGACCCAAAAGGGCGGTTTCTACTTCACGCTGCCCTGAATCTACTGTAGTCTGGAAAAGACCACTCGCAAGTCGGTGACATAGAATTTTTTTTCCTGGATGCTTTGAGAAGACGATTCTTTAGTATTCCCGCTGTTTCCGCCTCTTAATTCAACATTCATGAATAAGGTCTTCTTAGGAACAGTGAGAACTTGTTCTAGTCGTCGTTTTGACTTCATGTTTTTTTAACGAACTTTGGATGATAGCCATTCTGAAGAAGTACTTTCCGAAGGTGTTCCAAATCATCGACAAATTTGTCACTTCGCATATCCTTCCGATTCTCGGTGCTTCCATTCTCTTATTCTGCCTTGGTCATAATCCTTCTTCGAGTTTCTGCAGTTCTTCAACATTCGTCTCATTCTTACTATCATCATTTTTTATTTCATTTTCACCTTGAGTTTTACTTTTCCACACCCATTAAAATTCTCAGAATACTTTACTCTGACCGTTCATCATAATTAGTAGTATTATTTTGACCTGTTTAATTTTTAATTTATTAATCAGCACAATAATCTACTGAATATTTGCCTTATACACACTTGGTTACATGATCCCTTTCTAACTGTAGAATCAACCCACAATTTCAGTCTAGAACATTTTATTCCGATGATCTGGTGTTGACCAATTGGCCGATAACAGACTTATCGGTTTGTCTGTTATTACTATGAATAGTATTGTAAAGCCGTTGGAAATGATTCGTGGAAAAGGAAATTTTCTTCACTGAATTAATTCCTCTTTTCTTTGATTTGAATTTATTCGGTACACCACTGTTGAGGTCAGTCCCAAAATGAGCGCAAAAGTCGCTTGGTCTTTAGATCACTGTGATCAGCGCATAAAAATCTGTAGATAAGCGTTAATAGTCTTTAACATCTTATACTCTTCAGTAAATTAAAAATGTTCTATCCCATCATCCAATGACAAAATGATGGCTTTTTTTTAATATGGCTGATTCTTGTCATTATTCTTGTGAACTATATATATGCGCATATGGTGGTCAACCAGTGGATCGCATATGAGAGTTAAACCAATCCACTTCAATCTCTGTAAACCTCCTATATCTTAAGTTTTATTCCAGATGGACTTAGATCTGTCCGTATGCCATGGATTCAAACTCCCTTAACCTGTTTTGGTTTAGCTAGTCAACAAATGTGCAACACATATGTCCGCCATTAAAAACACTTTTGATAAATAAACTGTATGATCGCTTTTGTTTGTTTGTTTGTTGTTGTTGTTGTTTTAGTCTTCCACAACCAGATGTTAGACGCATTGAATGGATATTGGACGATGATTTCCTTCTGAATATTATTCAACCTAGTCAACTGGCTTATGATGAATGGAGGAATAATTTAACTTTCAGTTGTATAGAAAAGAGAGATTCACTTAATCGACGCTTATGTAAATCCGCTGGTTTAGAACCTGACAGTATAATGCAGTTGTCATTTCAGGTGGATTCATTCGACTATTTTCTTTTTTATTTCGCTTAAATGAAAATAGTTTATTTTGAAGGTTCTAGTGAACTAATCTACTTCTTGTATAGATGCTTTCAGGAATGTAAAACTATACTGGGTAAAAATTAATAAGACAGCTTTTACTGTCGAATTAGATAATAATGTCAGGATAAATTTGAACAGGTAGTCAGTCTGCATAACCTTGCCTGGTTAACTAGTTCACTAGTTACTAGCCGGTCCTAAGCCAGGATAAACATGGAAGGTTGGGCATAGGGCTAGCAACCCTACCCCGGAAAACAAATCCAACCTCTAAAGAAACTTCAAAGCACAGAGTAAACATAAAACATAGAATTAAACTTATTCCTCACTGGAATCGGAGAGGCGAAATGACACCAGTTGGTGAAAGCCTTCGGGAAGCCAATTGCCTGGGCCGATGTGTCTTCTCTCCCTCAATGAAAGCGAAAGTAAACGTAGCGACATGGAATGTCTGCACCATGTTTGAACCCAGCAAGGCGCAGCGCAGATTACAAACGAGATGAGAAGGTATCCCATTGAAGCGCTAGGAATTTGCGAAAGCAGATGGAATGGAAGTGAACTCTCTAAACTGTCAACTCGAGAGTCAATAATCTACTCCAATATTGTCACCCAGATGACAACCACGAGCACACTAAGTTTTGGAGTGGCTACCATGATGTCCCCAAGAGCATCGGAGGCTCTCATGCAGTGGGAACCAATCTCCTCATCCAGGATCATAACAGCAGGGTTCAATTCAAAAGGAAGGAAGGAAGGAAGGTCACAATCATACAGTGCTACGCCATGCACCCACAAATAATGCAGATGAAGAGAAGAAGGAGGAATTCTACAGACAACTGCAATCAACGCATGAACAAGACCCCACCCAAGTTGGCGACATCAAAATTCATTCTAAGGCGTGGGATGACATGAATACCAAACTGGGAGCGGACAACACAGGAAGAGAACAAACCATGGACCGAGAAGCGTTCGGTGAGGTGATGAACGAGAATGGAGAACTGTTTGCAGAATTCTTTGCATTCAACGATTTGGTGATTGGAGAGGAGGCAGTGTGTTCAAGCACAAGGATATCCACAAACCGACATGGTCTTAATTTCACCAGACACCAGGACACACTAAGAATCAGATCGACTTCACCTGAATGTGAAGAAAGTGGAGACGCAGCCTACTGGACACAAGATGAAGAGGGCGAGCAGATGTAGGTTCACACCACTCACTATCTAGTGCAACGAACCTGCCTTTCAAATCAAGTTGAAAGCCTTCAAGGAAGTTGGTGGTAGACCACAGTTGAAGTTCAACACCCAGAACTGAAACTAATTGAAGGATGAAACTACAAAGAAAATCTTCACGGCAGCCAGCCATCGAGACAAAATGGGAGATATCGAGCAACATGCCTGAAGAAACCTGAGTGGAAGAACACTGGAACTCTTTGAAAGGGATGTGGAAAGAAACCTGCATGAGCGTATTAGGAAGGAAGAAGAAGAGGAAAGACGAAGAATGGATCTCGATGGACACACGGAAGCTGATAGAGCAGAGAGAGGAAGATGGTGAAGCAGAAGATGAACCAGTGCAATGCTGGAGTGAACAACGAAAAGAGGAACTGAGTACAACGTATAGAACACTACACTGGACAAAGAAGTGAAGAAGAGTGCACGGAAAGACAAAAGACACTTCTACGACACACTGGCAGGTAAGTGAAGCAGAACAGACTGCTGGTAGGAGAGACAGACATCTGACAACATTATATCAAATAACCAGGTTACTATCTGGAAGGGAAGAGATCAACACAGATGAAACCAATGAAAGATGATGAAGGAAATATAATTACTAAAGAAGAGAAACAAAGGAAAGGGTGGGATGACCACTTCAAAAAAACTCTTGAATCGACCACCACCTGCACTTCGTCCACAAATACCACCTGCAGCCACACAACTACAAGTGAACACAAATCCTCCAACAAAAGTCGAAGTATCGACAGCTATAAAGCTACTGAAATGCGGTAAAGCAGCAGGACCAGATGGAATCCCGCCAGAAGCACTGAGAGCAGACGCAGAGACAACAGTAGACATGCTCACACCACACCACTACTGCAGAGGTTTGCAAAGAAGGGAAGGTACCTGGAGATTGGAAGAAGGGTTACCTTGTCGAACTCCCGAAGAAGGGAGACCTCAATGTTTGCAAGAACTGGCGTGGAATCACTCTCCTGTCCACCCAAGGCAAGCAAAATATTAAGCCGCATCATCTTGGAGAGACTAATGGATGCCCTGGATTCAAAATTAAGACCGGAACAGGCTGGCTGGCTTCTGGAAGAACAAATCATGTGCGGACCAAATTGCAACCTTACTCATCATCATAGAACAGAGCATAGAATGCCAGTCAACTCAATTCAACTCAACCTCAAATTCATCGACTTTGAAGAGGCCTTCGACAGTGTCAACCGAGAAGTAGTTTGGCAGGCAGCTGCTTCAACACTACGGTCTCACTGCCACAAACCTTTATCAAACTCATTTAACAGCTATGTGAGGACGCCACATGCCAAGTGATTCACAGTGGAAAGCTCAGTGTCGCTTTTGAAGTGAAGACAGGAAGGAGTAAGACAAGGCTGCCACCCATTATCACCGATGGTCTTCCTGATTGTAGTGGGCCGGATCATGCAACATACAGTAAGGAGGGTGAAGAGAGGGATAAGCTGGACCGGGAAAAGAACCTAGAAGACTTGGATTTCGCTGATGACTTGTGTCTGATGTCGCACAAACTCGAAGATCTACAGGCAAAAACTAACAAGTTGACAGAAGAGGCGGGGCAGCGAAGACGGGACTTCAAGTGAATAAAGAGAAGACAGAGGTGATGAAGATACTCAACTAACAACACCACCACCAGCAACAAACACCAATCACTATCAACGGGCGAAACTCAAAGGAAGTAGCCTTTTCCACCTATCTAGGCGGCATCGTTTCAACCACAGGTGGCACAGGCACAGATGAGAATGTCAAAGTCTGGATAGGAAAAGCAAGACAGGCGTTCATTAGCCTGAAACCAGTGTGGAGATCTTCTGCATTCAGCATGTGGAACAAGATGCGGATTTTCAACACCAGCGTCAAATCAGTGCTTCTGTGTGGTGGTTGAGGGACTTGGCGCGTTAGGAAAGGGATTTCGAATAAACTACAGACATTCATCAACAACTGTCGCCTACGCTGGCTCTATACTGAAGATCAGATGGTCAGAAAGAATATGCCACAAGGAACTCTGACCTCGTAACGAACCAACCAAGAAGCTATTACCCAACAAATATGCAGAAGGAAGTGGAAATGAATTGAGCATACACTGAGACGGCCGACTGGGGACATCATGCGTGAGGCCCTTGAGTGGAACCCCGATGGGAAGCGACGAGTTGGGTGTCCGAGGAGAGGGTGACATGGAGGAGATCGTGCGAGGAGGAAATGAGCGCTTGTGGGCTGTCGTGGAGCCAGGTTCGAAAAATTTCAGAGAAGAGAGTGGAATGGAGACGTGCTACTGAAGCCCTATGTTCCACTAGGTACCCAAGGGACAAATAATATAATAATAGTAGTCAGTCTGCATTGAAAGTTTCCCAACAAATGAATATATAGTCTCATGTAGAATACACCTTTGGTTTTGCTGATTTAGAAAGTTGCATAAGCCTTTCCGGTTACTGGCTAAATACCATTATGTACACAAAAGGTGAGATATTTCACTAGCTGATGTAGGATGGGTGTGTTACCCTTCGTAATTACTCTACACTTAGGAGATATAGTCGCTGAAGGTTGATAACATGAAGGTGAGACAATTTTTCTATCTTGTAGTTGTCTTCAAATACTACTACCATTGATGAGTAATTTTCAGGCTAACTATATGTTGCTCTGTAAAGGTAGTTCATTTAGTCAGCTAATAAGCGTATTGATGAAAGTATATGTTACACATGCTGAACCAGTGTCTGATTCCAAGTCCATGTACTCTGTATTGTTATATGCGTTTTGTTTCACTGTTACACTCGTTAAACAGTTCATCTAACACTAAGTTACATTGTGTAACAGTGTCATGTTACTTAGCTTGGTGTCCTGATTGCAAACTTAATCGACATACTTCAGTCAGAGCTGAACAATAATGACTAGACAGCTACATCGATTACCTACGAATAACCAATTTGTTTACGTAATCTAGTTATAAAGGGGTTGATCGTGGCATGAATCGTTTGATGACATAATCTGGGAATTCAGCTCTGAGTGGTTCGGGTTTGAATCACCGGAGGCACCCCAGTTTCTTCATGGTATCAGACTTCTCTTGCTAGTGAGTTCCAACAAGTGTATAAACTAGGTCCAGAACTTCCTGTCGATTCATTTCTATCATCTAAAAGGGAAGTGATTTTTGTTAATTTATTAATTGCGTTATTTTGAATCCTATTCCATCATTTTTGTTGAAATAGTTATTTTATGATGCCATTTCGAGACGTTAGGCATCACGGATAACTAACAATGAAGCTGCATAAAGAAATCTTTTTCAGCAGGAAAGTGGAATTGGTCTTCTGTGGTTCGTGATTTAAAAGCACTGTATTGCATTTTTAGGCCTTTGAATAGTATGTGTAAGTAACAGCTTTTTGTCCCCTCATGCATGGATCGGTGTATATTAAAAACGTTCTCTGGATTTAGGCATCTGTTCCATTGATCAGGACATTCTCAACTGCATTCGATTTAAGATATTATGTCTTAGCAATTACAGAAGGACCCATTTATCAATCTATGAAATAGGCTTATTACTTGGTTGCTTAGATTTCACTACGTGGAGCGAGGCTCTAGTTCTCAACTTTGTTAGTATTGGAGTACTCAAACTAATAGGCTAGAACTCTATTCCAGATGAAAACAGTCTTCATGATTAATACAAAATAAATAATCCAGAACAAATGAATTCCCAGGTGTATTCATCCATCAAAGTTTCGAAAAACCTTACTAATTCATTAGCAAGAAACACAAAGCCTAAGTAAAGCAGAAATTCCTATTAAATGACACGAAACTTTTAATCCTAAGTGCGACGCATTCTGTGATGGATAAATACCAACCGGCACTTAATGCTTATATCTGTTTACCATTCCATGACTGATGTTTGTCGGAATAAATGTACTCAATCTAATAACAGTAGTTTAATATTTCATATTGTCTAGCATAGGTCACTGTTGTTAACGAAACGTAACTCACCAACTGCATGCGCGTTCATGCTGCAGGCAATGGGTCACACCTGTTTTATGGTGGCAATCAATATCACCTGGCTGTTCATCATCTTGGTAGCTGGGGTTGGGTTCGAACTTCTGACTTATTTATTCAAAGTCACCTGTGTAGACCAGTAAGGTACAGGTCTAGTCCTTGTTCTTAACACCATAAATTTAACTTCAAAGGAGAATTACCTTTACAATTTGCAAATCATCCTTTTTCATTCTTTTTTTTCTTGTCTTCAGCTAGCTTACGATACTGTACATGGTGAACGTGTTGCCGCATGTGAACCATGTAATACTTCAACATTTAAACATGGACGTACTGAAACTATCCGTTCAGCTACTGTAGAAACAAGAAAATTTATTGATCTAATGCGTATTCATAAAAAGTCTTCGATTTCCGTGACAAGCACGCCTATTTCATTAAATGACATCACTTTGTCTGATCTGTTCACTTCTCTTCGAGCCTGTTCGAGTAAGCATTCTCAGCTAGTTAAAGAAGCAGCTATGGGTCAAGGTAAGTCATTAATTTTCTTGATGTGTTACTATTTGTACCAACCTCTTTATTTATTTCTCATCTACTCCACCGAACCAACTAAGTAAATTAAGAATGTTGTGTTAGACATAAAAACTGCTTACCCTGCGAGGGATTCAAACGTTAGTTTCCTGAAGTGACATACTTTATCCAACTATTCTACTTTGTTTTGCTCACCACTGTATGAACAATGGTGAGGTTAGGCTTAGGATAATGGGCAAAGAAAGTAAGTCAGTTGATATAGTTATGAACCTTCATCAAGTAAGGTGGTTTGGATATGTGTTGCATATACCAATCCACTGTCTACTTCAATGTGCAATGTTAGCCGAAGTAGGATTGGGTTGAAAGAAAGCTAGCACTGGCCTGTTCAAGGTGTACTACCAGTCCATAAAATCTGCGATGGTTTGTCTAAGCTATGAAGACAACTAAGCTATAGCCTAGGAGGTCATACAACTCAATGTTTGGAGACTCATGGTAACGTGACTGGAAATAGGTCACAATGGTGCAAATGGGACATCTGTCAAAGTCTGAACATCCTCGCTAACCTTTATTTATTTCTCCCATCCTCCTATAACTTTTGTCTACCTTAGCATCACTATTTTTCTGTCCACTTGTTCTCTGCTTGGTGCTGTGAAGTGTTGCAACTTGAACTGACCCACTTCTATGCCAGGTTCCACATTAATTTATGCATTTGTCTGTTTTGCTGTGATGCACCGGTTTCATGCAGATCTAAAACAAACGTCAGTGACTGATAAGAACAAAGGAGAGTGAGAAAGCATGAATCGTCCAAAATGTTTTGTACTCATTAAAGAAAGTTGACCGAATAGGTTCATTTTCACTGATGAAGCGTATATTATTGTTTAGTTACTGATAAACTTGGAGAAGCTTTTTGAACAGTTACTTTTGGGTGACTCTTAGTTGAATCAACCATCTGATAACTCGAAGTTTGTTTAAAATTATCAAGAAATCGATCAAGATCTCCCTTAGAGCGATTTTTGGGAGATAGATATTTGAATCAACGTAGAATCTTGCACAGAAATAAACCAAGTTAATCTGCTACGCTTTGCAACAGCCCATAAAGAGAAATTGAATAGAAAAAGATATACTGGGGTAGATAAAGTGTACAAGAGGGAAAGGAATAAATAAATGAAGGATACCAAAATGTTCGAAACTCTGAAAGTAATAAAGATTGTTTATATTCATCAGCATTATTATCTCTTTTGAGCTATATTTCCTAGAATTTCTAGCCATTGATTCCTATAATCTCTTTACGCAGCTCAGACCAACAGTCTGGTGCTTCATAAATCCATGACGCTTCTTAGTTTCTGTCACTACTGGACTTTTCTACCACTGCATTTCTGCTAGTTTCTCCTACACAATGCTGTTTTAAATTGTAGTTTTATGTAAACAGAGAATCAACAACTGTAGCAGTATGAGATGACATCCTTATTGTTTCTAGGATTCTTTTCACTCAACCAAAACCTAAAACAATTGGATATCAAGCATAGGAAGAAACATTTTTATGCTTTCATCGAGTTTACACTTAGAAATACTGATTGAAAAGGGGATGGCCAGTATTTCTACTGTGAACTCAATAAAAACATTTAAAAGTACTTTTTCTTTTTGCTTGATGTTTAATTGTTTCAGGTTATTGACAGTTGAGGAAAAACGTCGGAATAAAATTATGTCATCTTGTTTTATCCCAGTTGATGTTCTTGATTAATTTAAGTCACATTGGTTTCTTATTGCTTTTTGTCTCTATGCCTAGATGCATCTTCCTCTTTTCCCATTTATCTATTCTCATGTCTCACCGTCTTACGCTTTGCAGATAGACTGATTAATAACTTGATACCTAGCACCATTGCTATTGTCTTAAGCTGCCATACTTCATAACTGCACATCTGATTGACTTCTTTTCCAATAACATGAAATGTGCCTTTGTGAAATATTCTATGCTTGACTGTAAATATACATAGGGAGAGAGAGAGAGAGAGACTGACGAATCCTAACGGCTGAAACGCGCATGCTAGATTCGACTACTAACTACCATCAAGCACCTAGCATCAAGTTGAAGCACTGTTGGTAACCACAAAATGAATAGTAATATTAATAGCTATATGAATCACAAAAAGGTTTCAGAAGTTGTAAGTATGCGATGTCAATAACCTACCAGGTAAATTTATTGATACTTGTACTTTCGTGTTGATTGTTTTATTCAAGGCATCGTCATAAGAGAGTGCATATGCCAGCCAACAGAAACTGATCAATTCGATTCAACTTCAGAATCAAAACGGGAATGCATGGGTATCAATAAATAATAACTAATACTTAGTGTTGTTGCTTGTATTATCCCGTCATTGATTGGGCCGAATTGATCAATCGATATTGGCATATGGGCTCCTGCGCGGATGCCTCGATATTGCCTATGTTTTAATTATATATTAATGATAGATGGTGGCTAACAGTGAAATCCAGGACGCACGTTTTGTCTTGTTTGGAACTCGTTAGTTAGATGTACCTGCCTATCAGTGAGTGGTATCGCCACCGGGACTCGAAATCGGGACCGGTCACTTCAAACGCCAGAGCGTTATCCACGGTAGCCACTTCTTGTGCGATGGGTATAGTTTTAGTGTTGTTGGTTTGGCGTTTAAAGCGGTCAGTCCTGAGTTTGGGTCCTAGTGGGAACAACATCTTTCACTGAGAGACAATTACATCCAGCTGATGGGTCCCAACTAGGACGAAACGCGAGTCCTAGACTCCACTGCTAGCCACTATCCATCATTAGTAAATAACTAATACTAACACCCAGCTGAGAAGTCCAAAACAGGATGAAAGAAGCATCTTTGATTCTCGTTGCTGGCTAACACGAATCCAATTAAAACACGGCATTGCTTAAAGAATGTTTAAATTTTGTAATGTCTCTGTAAATAAGATGGTAGTGTAAAGAGTGTTTGAAAACTGATGAGCATGAAGTTACAGTCTCAGCTATGTTGAAAAATAAGTCCAAACTTCAATGAAATTACTCCTACACTTTTCAATGTTTTTAAACTTCATAACTGCGAATGATTGAATGCGAAAAAAATTCAGGTATAGGTTTATTTTATCTGACTCTATCCTACTCGCGTCGAAGTATGTTGAATAATGCATTGACTACAATTGAATAAATACTGTAATTTTCCAGTTTTATTTTTTCCATAAGAATATTTTTTTGTATTTCTAGGCTGGGATAGGCACTTATTTGCCTTGCATCAGTTGGCATTGGGTGATTCACAATGTTCATTACCTAATTTATTCCTTGATCCTAATTATGAAAAGATTAATCAGTGTTTGTTATGCACAGCTGCACTGTCTACGCCTGGTCTTGCACTGAGTGCATTCGCAGCTGTCTGCCTTGATGGTTATGGTATCACATATGCTATAGAGGTATGTTAATGTGTGCAGGCTAACTGCTTACATTTTTGTGTTTTTGAAAACCTTGGTCGGTTTTGTGATCTCTGTCTTAAATTTTCATTGACATATTACTTATGTATGGGAAAAGGTTTATCCCTTGAATGTTGTCACGTTCTCTATGCTGAATTTAATCGTAGAGCGTCCACCGTCATTCTAAACAGTATGATCGACGCAAAGTTGACAATCAAAGTGACAGACACAGACCCACTAGTGTAGGATCTCCCACAGATGTGCATCAGTTCATGTTGCCACACCTCACGAGAGCATGCGAAGAATAATTTAATGGGAAAAAATTGTATTAAAGTATAGATACTGACGGATGATCGAAGGTGAAATGAAAATCTGGACAGTGGTCGGACGAACCAGCCACCACCTGGTTTCCGGCCTGATGCTCTACCAACTGAGTTACGAGGTCCGACTGCTGACCAGATTCTTATTTCACTTTAATCATCAAGGATTTCGCCTGACTACCTTGTGAATTCGTGACGCGTTACTACCGCTTGATCGTATTTATACCGGTTGCCTAGTCAAGACTTCTCATCCCAATCCAAATGTAACTGAATTAGAGAGGAGGAGCACCGTATTGATTATCATTTTGACTATCTGAGATAGCTGTGGTTAAGCAGACTAATATTGATACTGGGTGATGATTGAAGGTGAAGTGGAAATTTGAACCGCTGCCAGGTATACATATTAAAGTAGGCAAAAGTGCATGAAAGGAGAAGGAAGTTGGAAAATAAACGTTAGTGGAAATATTTAAACTTCTGAAAATATCTGAGTGAATACATCTGCGGCGTTGTGACCGGTTTTCAGCTGTGCCATCAGAGTTCTCTGACAATTGGTTTCCATTATTTCGTTGATGCCAGTCAAGTAACCTACATGGCGCTCAGACCAACAATCAGAGACGTCATAGACTGGTGCCACGCCCTAATCTGACTAACCTGAGCCTTCTTTCAACTCAAAGTATATATAAATCCGTTGTTACGTTCCGACTTTTATAAGACTATCTGTACTATTTCAGTGTCTGCTACACTCACCCCAAAATATATTCATCTTACACTGTGTAGTTAGCTGGAGAGTGTAAACTGCTTGCACGCTTCCAGAAACACTCATGATCCATCCCGGATGCTTATTTGTAATTTCACTACGGATATCGCTGCGACTATATTTCGAATGATTTTCTCAATAATATAATAGGTAATGCGATTCAATTACCACGTACAGGATTGTGCTCTAGATAGTCGACCCCATCTATTATGAAGGCTATAATAGCACCGAAATACACAGTTACAGGTTTGTTACAACTCACGAATAACCTCTTATCGTGTCCACCATTCCTTATTTCAAAATTTTTTAAGTGTTCCGATGACCCATTTTACCACAGTAAAGATGAAGTTATTCTGTGATAAGCATAACGGGATCCTTCAACCAACAAACGTCTTTCAATGGATTTGTACGTTTACTTACAAACATAATACTATGCAAGGATTTTAAAGTTCTTTCATGATATGAAGGAGGTTTTGAGGTGGTTTTAATAACCCTACCTTCGTAGTGTGTACACTAACTAAATCATTACTGTCTCTTTCCCCGTTGATTGCAGAGTTTTTCTATGGTCTTCCTATGAATTTATGGATAGATTTACCGGGATACTTAGTCAGCAGTAACATTTCTTTATGGTATCTTACCTTTGTAGTAGACTTCATATCTTGCTTGTTGATCTTTTAGCTCTCTAACTTCAGCATTTCACCAATCGATATTAATTAGGAAGACATAAGGCCCAAATATTGATTTGAATGTAATGGTTCTTTGTAAACTCTAGTATATGAACCACCATAGTACCTTTGCTTTGTTCAGCGACCACTTCATCACTTTTTACCACTAAGTCTATTTTCGTCATAAATGTATATGTATGTGCCATGATTTCACCTCAAAAACTCTATCGCCTAAATGTCTTCACCGTACTCTTGGGTGGGATTTGATATCCTAGGAACTGTGTTGTGGAGTAGTGACTTATGGGTCAGACAATCCACTTTCAACCTGTAGGTCACGTAACTGAATCCAGCTCCACCTACTAATATCTTATTAACCTTCACATAGTATGTGTGGTTGCCTACTACACGAAAGTGCGTTACTGCTGAATAGATTTTAACTTTTCCAGTTGTGTTACGAATCCTTTCTAAATACATCTGCCACAGTTAGCGATATCAGTTATCCCGTGACCATTCTTTCTGTTTGATTGTATGTTCTGCTCTGAAATCTGAGGACTAAACGTTTCTTCATTTCAACTTTATTGCTTCTTTTCCCAACGTTTTCTTTTTCTTGACTACACATTTCAGGAAGATTGTTGTGGAATACAAGTAACTTCTTGGTCTAATTCATCGAAAGCTAGCGCTGTTCAATTGAAAGATGCATTTTCTGAAAGTATCAATCATCTTACCAAATTGATAGAAGCATGTTCAGTTAGTGGATGAAGTGCATGTGCACAACCATACAAGATCCATTTTAATTAATCAAGAGATAGTTTCTCTGTATATAAAAAAGCTCCATTTATTTCCATTAGTTTTATGCAAGATTTTCTGAACAATTATCCATATGTCATTTATACTTTAGATCTTGTACTTTCAATACGCAAATGTTATTAGTTTTAAGCAGTGGAATTGTGTTCACTCAACTTGTTCAGTTCGAACAAGTTACCTTCCACTTCAGAATCAATACTTGATCGTTCCTGCTTTCATTCGTTCGAAATATGCCCAGGCCAAAAAACGGTCGAAACAGGGTTGGGGCAAATATGGGGTTGAGTGAGTGCTACTAATGAAATATTTAGCATTGGTTATAATTTTCACCGGCGTAAGGTCAATAAGTTTGGTAGGGATCACTTTTTAACGGATGAGATAATTCAGGAGGAAATATGAATAAATTGCTGAAGTACACGCCGTGGTCATTCAACAGAAATCTTACAGATTACTCTCAACTCACGAAGGAGGTAGAAATGATGCTCTGTGATGAAAGACTTATCTATGAGCTAAGATCGATGCACTAGATACAAAGTGCATTGAGATCGTGGTTAACATCTCATGTTATTGGGAATTCTCTTCTCCAAAGGAAAGTTTCACCTAAACTATGAGCTATATTGTTCCAGAGATTCGGAAAACTATTCTTTATATTGCTAATGACAACAATCAGTGGTTAGGAGATTACTCTAGAGATCTCCCTGCCTTCTTGAATGACCTCTTGACTGATAAAAATGCCGTGATATTTTTAACTGCACAGGCGTAATGAGTATCTTATTTTGTTTATCTGATAACTTTGGTAAAACTATTGGGTGGATGTGGCTTGTTCCCATGTAACTCATCCACAGGCAACAACACAGTTGCCACATCAAATTATGTCACGACATAATCCGTTGACTTCCTCATCCCATTCATATAAGTTAATGTCTTTATTACGAATGATAAGTTTTCATACCGATATGGTTCAGAAAACTTCAGTTTACTGATGAACAATTTTCTGTTCCCCCATTGTGTATGCTTAGTCATCTCACTACGTTAGTATTTATCTGTGTAACGTCATAACTGTCATCCGTAAGAGTATACGTCGTCTTAGTGGATAATGGTTGTTGAACTCTTATCAGGACTAATTATTGGTACATATTATCTATTCCTTTTCTTCTTACTTGGCCGAGGCAGTTTTACTTTCAAAAATCTTTATTAACCGTTATCATTTTCTTGTGTCATTTGCCCTACTGACCTGCTCCGACTTGCCTTTCCTCCTGGTACGACCCTTCTTCAAGCAACCACAGCATAGTCCCATTCTCCTCGTAAATCTTAGTCTTTTCGAGCCAGACATTCCGAGATATCCTGCATAGTTATAAACTTGATGCAAAACATCACATATCAAACGCTTACTTGTTTTAACAACGCTGCGTTATGCATCTGCCTTGATGGTTTGGTCCATGTTCTGCTCTTAATCTTGCACCATGTTTCCTGTTAGGTCCTGTGATTGGGGAATTGAGGGAAACATTTAACCGATGGTCCTAACAATCATTATTCCCCGAGTTTCTATGTTCGAACTGATCCTATGGCCACTAATTTCATACAAGCCTACTCCGAAAGAAGATGAAGTTAGATGGTTAGCCTGCACAATGCACGATTATTTGGATATAAACGGGAGGCGTCCAAGGCCTTATGGCATAGACGGTCTAAACAGAATATTAAAGAATGGGAACAAAGACAAGCACATGAAGGTCATTCATGATTGATTAGTTATGACTCTCATTATCTCTGGCTAGGAATCCAACACGCTGTTAGAAGATTCTATTACAATTATCCTTCTTCTGTCTATCACCTTCCCGATTTCTGCCAATGGATATAAAATTTCGGCAAACCTTGATACTTGACTTAATTTCTCTCATTGGGTTTAAATATAAGAAAAACTAGGTTCTACCTCGTTTTTTTTTTATATACCCAGTCAACTTAACTCACTTTCTTTATAGGCTGGTCAGCAAATGTCTTTCAATTGCTTCAATAACTGATATAACATTTAATTTATCTGTGTTGTTCAAAGATGTTAAGATGTTCTCATCATTTAGGCGATTATTCAATGAGACAGTAAGGTGCTATGAGGAAATAATCAGGCGATCGTACGTTCACTGCCTTAAAACTGACAAAATTAGTCAACAGTTCACCGGATCAATGCACATATTCACTGTTACTTAATAAATAGTCTATCATTAAATATGAATGGAATTGTCGATACAACTTCTGTTCAAATTGTTTCGGCCTTCAGTATTCGAACGAATGAAAGCAGGAACAATCGAGTGTTGATTCTGAAGTGGAAGGTGACTTGGTCGAACTAGACAAGCGGAGTGAACACAATCCCATCGCTTATAAACATTGACAATGGTTCTTCTCTATTTTTTCGTTCTGACCAAAAACGTTGATCAATACTTAGACTGTGGAATGCTTTGTTACTCGTTACCTACATCCAGCTTTGTCCGTGCATTGTATTTAAACAACTAACCGATCAAATAAATATGGAGGGGTTTTAAGCATAGAATTGAAATAGAAGGGTAAGTGACAAGAAAATAATTAATTATTAACGTTTTTCGAAAGTAAATGGTGATAATTCTGTATCCTCACCTATGCATATCCATGTCTACGTGAAGAATTGTTCTCAGGGTCATCAGACCTATGTGAACCCAGAACCAGTGGGTCCACGCACTGGGTTCACCTTTGAGTAACCGTCCTCAACGACGACGTTGGATGTTGGTCGTACTATGTTGTGAACTAATGAAAGTAGGAAATATGCATCGTTGGATTCCGACCTTGTGGCTCAATAGTAACGTGCTGACCACGGGACCTTAAGGTCCTTGGTTCCATCCCTGTAGGGGTGTGTTCATGAGTGCGCACTTCTGAGGAAACTCCATGCTAGGACAGGACAGCTGTCCAGTGCTCCCAAGTTTTCAATGTTCCTCCAACTGACGTCAGTCCATGATGAATCCCAACCTAATACTCTCTGCTGGAATCCAGTGATCATAACCCGGTTTCGTCGTCAGGCATCAGTCACCACGCCATGATTGGTTGACTCCTCAATCAACTGTAGCTCCATCTTTAACTGTGACATGGATGTGCAGCGTTGAGAAATTCAAAAGTAGGACAAATCAGCTGTCTAGTGTTCTTGATTCTCAATGGTTCTTCCTCTAGCTGATATCAATCTGTAACGAAAGTTTATCTCAAATATGGACGACTTAAGGTATTGTTTAATGATTAGTGTATTGGAAAGTCACCAGTCACATAACGCTTGTAGTTGAACACCATCACACAGATTGGTTGAAAACTTGGTTTTGATCCTTAGGCTCTGTCCTATTTACATATCTGAAGGTGTATGGCATAAGCTGAATGTAATGGATGCTTATCGGATTCTGATTTAAGCATTCTCTTGAATATGCAGAAAGTATGTTAGACTATTATTTGCAATTAAGAATTCGGATAAAAGTCAAGTTGATTATATATATATATATATATATATATATATATATATATATATATATATATATATATATATATATGTAGATGTCATTTTCGTCACATATAAACAAGTGTCATCCATCGAACTACAGCGAAACTCAAAATGAACTATTTTCCTATTTTCGATAGTCCACAACTAAAGGTGAAGAAAGACATACACTTCTGTCAATATGGTCAATGTATTGTTCATCTAAGTGGTAGGAGCTGATGAGAATTTATTGGAAGAATATTTTTTGTTCAGATTGCTTTTAATAACTGTTGCGCGCATCTTAATATGTTTGATGTCCTACCCTAACACAACAGACAAATGAAGAAATTTGGTGTGGAACTTAATAAATGTATGAAATTTTAATAACGACAGTAACAAAAGTGGTAATGATAATAAGAAAATAGTAATTAAACGATGATAATATTGATATTAAGTAGCTAAATATCCATATTCCCATCATTTTCCATTCATTTTAATTCACAATGCTATACTCGTGATCTCTAGCACAACCCCCTGTTTTCCCCCCAATAGTTCATCCACCTTACATATCGTCTCTGTTTTGCCTCCGTATATCACTTTTTCTACAACCTTGAACCATCATTAAACTCCCTCAGTAATGTGGTAATGGTTAGCAGCGGAATCCAGCAGGCACATTTCGTCCTGTTTGGGTCTCGTCAGTTGGATTTGTCTGCCTCCCAGCCAGTGGTTGTTCCCACTAAGTATTATGTCCTGTTATTTTCTGAGCTTGTTGTTCAATTTTATGGTCTAATTTGTTATTTTAAGAACACTTACCACCTGTTTCTTGCATTGGTTGCTTAGGTCATGACCTTTATCTTTGGTATTATGATAATCTACCCTCGAAAAAGCAAACTTCTTTCTCTAATAACTGTAAAGTTTGTGTTGTAGGGGGGCAAATTAATCAGCACAGTAAAGCAATACAACCTAATTGTTCGAAATCGTATATGCGGTAATAAATAAACTGATTAAAATATTCTTGTGAGTAAGTCTACTTCTAGTAATCCAGTGATTAAGATTCAAGATTCTTATATCAACTAACTTTAACTTTGCACAACTGTTATCATCAAATTCTGAGTTCATAAGTGTAACTGGGTTGCGGTGATTTTTGTAGTTCGAATGGGGATGATCAATGTTTAAATTATATTGATCTTGGTGACTAGCAGAGGAATCCAGGACGTGCATTTCTTTTTATTTAGGACTCATCAGCTTTATGTACCTGCACCGCAGTGAGTGATGTTGTTCCCACCGGGGCTCGAACCCAGTACCCTTCGTTTCAAACGCGTTATCCACTGGGGGTGATAACCAAAATTTTCACAGTCCACTCTTACATTTTGCATATCTGAGTAGTTTTACGACTAGCTGACTATTTATCAACAGGATTTCCATTGAAATCTATTCAGAGAAAGTTACAAAATGTGATCACCTCATAAAAGAGTCATGAAATGTCGGGGGATATTACTGATCGTCATTAGTAGTTAAAGGCAGCCAGTGCTGGCCTGTAGGTTACACTAATCAGATGAAAGTTATCCTGGATGGCTTTTTCGCTTTTTAGGGCTGAACTTACCAGGGCAAATTCAGATCACGAAACGGAAATCTTCACATCCCCTGAGTGAGATAGACTAGTATACCTTAAATAGGATAATCAATTGGCAAATTATTTACAAATTGCATGGTTCAGGTTGACGCTAAACTGTCCAAGCATAGTATCACCTAGGTGTCCATTGAAAATCATCCAGTCAAGATCACAAAGTGTGTTCTCTGACACCAAAAGTCTCATGAACTAGAAAAATATGCCATTGCACAAACTAAGTACTTAAGAAGCACACATCACCTAAAGATTTCGCTAACCAGATCAGGACGTTCTAAACAACACTGGACAGTTAGAAATTCTTTTTCTTAGGTTCTACATTGGTTTGTTTGTCTTCAAGGATTATAATTCGTGAACTGAATAAGGTACTAATATACTTCTGTAGCCATCTGGCCTCTTGATGCTCTTACCTTCATGTTATGCACAAATAGACATCTCGACCGTATTCATTTCACTCTCATTTGAATGCAGATACACACAAACACCAGCAAATTTATTTCTGGAGGACAGCTGCATGTCTCCAACGAAAATCCGTCTCTCATATGTACACTTCAACTGCAATGATAGCCTCATGGCCTGTGCATTCCCAGTGTTAGGTTGCTCTAAGAGGCTGACAAGTAAATCAGTGTTTTTTATGTGAATCAACCTTTTTCTTACTTAAAAGAGATCTTCAGATGCTGGCTTCCTTGACGTAAGTTTTGTCACTAACAACTAGTCAGCCTGCAGTGAGCTGAATATGTTGTCTAGACAGACAATTAGAGCTTCAAGATCACACTATCCAGTCTAGAGAATGCAGCACAAACAAGATCATCCTCCTGAGCCATGAACTTATCAAACCCAAATGGGCTTCAGGTTGTATGAAGATGGAAGAACTTTTATAAAAAGCAGGCTTCTAAAAGAGAAGAAATTGTTTTTCTCCACGTGCTTCTAAGTCAGCATATCCTGCGAAAGTGTTAGATAAAGACTGACTGGCTGCACAACTGGATGCAAGATAGCTGAAGATGAACGGTACAACTGATGATTGCAGATGTAAACTTTTGGTTCCGAAAGTTCCAGTTTGTGACTGACAAGCACAAGAGAAAACTAAAAACTCTACACAGTACATGATAGCGTTAACAAAAAAAAATGAAAAATCAACCAGGCAGCACAAATGACAACCAAGGAAAATCCTCAGGAAAAAGCTGAGCAGAATTTCAAAAGCACATACTTCAGAAGAAATAAATGACTGTTGCCAACTAATCAAAACTAACACTGGCAAAAATGGATTCTTCGCAGCATCAGAATCATTACTTGAAACATCAGGATTAAATGGGGCAATCAACGAGGAATACGACAGTCGATCATACCACTGATCAGATAGAAGAAAGATTACAGTTGATCTGTCACTCAGGAAGAGAAAAGATTGAAAACTAAGGAAGGTATTGCTATATTTTCTGCTACCGAAGTGTGCACCATTTTATTCAAGGACAAGAGAGGTCATATCAAGAAGGCAAAAAACTTGTATCAACCACTTGTAACAAACCTTATTCAAAATTTGACGACCAGATCACCAAAACCTTGAATAAGCTCATCAAAACAGGAAAAATAACAGAACAAGACAAATGGTGAATAAAATCAAATGAACGTTTTCTTCTCTGGCTTTATGGTAGACCCAAACTACACAAACCAAGCATTCCTCTACGACTAACAATCTCGCTGTCGCAGACTGGAATGTACAATCCATCCAAAGAGCCTTCAAGGAGACCAGAATCCGTTATGGGGACATTTCATCAAATCAATGACATAATTTTTGGTAGGATTAGAGGTATTCAAATAGACAACGATGAGTTAGTGTCCTTCAACGTCACAGCATTATGCACATCACTTGAAACACAACTGGTCAACGATACTAGCTTCCTTCTCACTGATGGCAAAACTTTTGGAACGCAAAATTTCTACTGTTCATTTTTGATGGAACTCAGTGATCTTTTTCTGACAATATACTTCCAGTTTAAAGGTAAAACATACAGATGAAAGCCATCATTTTACCCGTAATCAAACTGAAAATGTTAACTGTTTGTATAGACGATACTTTTGATATCATTGAAAAGAATGAACTAGGAAGTGCAGTTTGATCGACAGCGTTTTAAGCTACATCAAACTTAAAATGGAAAAGAAGTCGGACAACCAGTTGTCATTCATGGGTGTTTTAGTCAGTAGAAGCAATCTTAGAAACTTTGATACTCAAGCGTACAGAAAGTCAAACGCTCACTGACCAAATCGTCAACTGCAGTAGGAACAACGCACAAATTTAGCTGCCTACAGACTTTATTCAAAAAAGAGAAAAGAACTGTGGTACAATAACTTCACACAGGAACAAATAAAATCACTTGGTCCCTGCTGGAAAGAAGAATTGTTACCCACACAACTTAATCAGAAGACGTGTATCCCCTTCATTACCAGCTGTGAAGTTATCCACAATGGTCAGAAAACAAATCATCCTACCATAAATAAGGAACGGTGATCACAATAAGACAACTAAGACTATTTTAAACTGATGTGGCTCACAGACCAACGAATTCACTTCAAAACAAAGGACCTAGCAGCCAATGAAAACAAGCCAAATGTTATTTCCAAAATCATGGGAAACAGTTAGCACCAGCACTACATTGGACAAAATAATCTCCATCTTCATTTACTTGGACATCGACTGACTGTTAGACGTCACGGCTTTTTTTCGCTCATCAGTGCACGGGTAAGTACGCATACTAGGACGAGTACTCTGATGACCTCGCCAGGACCTTCAGGTTCCGCAGCAAACACATTACCATTGAGCCACAGGGTCGAAATCTAGTGGTTCATATTTCCTACCTCTGTCAGTTCATGATATCGCGTAACCTCCATCCAGTGCCGTCGTAGGGTAACTGTTTTCATGCTCAACTTGGCTGTTGTGCTTATCGAAAGTTATCCAGCTGACCTCACGCTAAGACGGTTACCGCCGATATATTTGCGGAAATTCCACAATACACTAAGGTAAAGCTTTCGGTGATATAATAATGCCTATCTGGCATAAAACTTAAATGAATATTCCCAGAATCTCTCTTGGAGACAATTTAAAGACCCCGAAGAGTCATTCAGAAAAGTGTTCATGCTGCTTTTCAGCAAGAAAAACGAGGCAAGGGAAAGCAGTTGTACAGATAACCACTTTATCCTTTTTTCCAATGCTTAGTGTACTGGACAGAAAAAGCAACAATAAAGAAAATGTTCTGCGTTATTCATCGAATGTGTCATTATGCTTCTATATTAAGTACAGACTTGGATAGGTGGATACTAAGACGTATCAGTGAACACATAGACACAAGTTTATCAACAGTCTAGGGACGATGTCAGAGGACAAGGCAAGAAGTTAAACAAAACTGAGACATGAAAGGAAAAATCAGTTAAATCAAAAATATCAAATAAGAAATTTACGTAACAAGAATATATGTTGCAAAAACTGCATTATTTTACTAAAGTGTGTTTAATGTGTACCTGACGTTTTATGAACAGTAAAGAGAAGGAGAATCACAGTTTTCTGTTGCCATTTGTCAACATCACAACAAGGTGAGAGCGGTAATAGATGACTAAGAAGAGGAAGGTGAAGAAATACATTCGTTTCAAGGCTTAGCTACTGACAAATCTTTATTAATTACAATGACTTTGAATAAACAAACAGAAAGAAACAATTTTTACATTGAACATCTGGAACAAAAGAAATGTTTCAAATAAAATTATTCTCCTAATACTTGTTAATTAGTCCAATGCTTTGAAGGGTTTCAAAAATTCACAGAAGCATTAACGCATTCTATGCTTTCATGAAGCGGTGAAGCTGTGACATTGGTATTTGAATGATGACTTGTTTGAAGTGTAGCGTGTAAATTAGCCGTCACTTCTTGTGGGGGATTAGTGTAGTCATATGACGTGCCATTCATATCCGGTGCAAAAGTGACTAAACTACGAGATGTAGATGGATATACCATGGGCATCGATGAGCTCGATTGATCAGCTGACACATTCATACCGTTGTTACTGTTACCATTGGTGTTGTTGTTATTGTTACTGTTAGCATAATTGAAGGTTTGACCTAAACTTGGAAATGAATTGTTGATCAGGGCACCTGATAGTGAGTTAGCAGGATTAACAGGTGTTAATAAAGATGGTGGGAAAGTTTGATAGTTTGACGCCATATTAAGCAATCTTTGATAAGCTATAGCAGCTGAGTATGCATTCAGTTCATTCGCTGAAACCTCTGGAGTGAATGTTCTGCAGAATGGGGTACAGCCGAACTTCCCGTCAATGCATTTAAACTTGATGTGTTAGGAGTGGTTGAGTTCAAATTCAATAGACTTGTTGTAGACAAACTAGTCGCATTCAAAGACGGTTGACTGCCAGGTGCCATCCCAATAAATGAATTGTTTGTCGGTAGAGCAGTGTTTAAGCCACCTGTACCCTGTCCATATGTGGACATTAGAAGAGCTAGTGCAGCGGGTGAAATACCTGTTTGATTTGTATTGCCCGTTCCCGCTAGAGCTGCAGCAGCTGTAATCGATGAAGAATTACCAGTTGCATTTGAATAGTTGAGTAGATAGTTCAAACTTGCAAGTGGATTCAAAGAAAGCTGTGCATGTAATCGATTATCAGTTGAGGGATCAGATATCGTTGAGACGTTATGATTAGTTGGCGTCTGTAAAAGTCCACCTATACCTGGTGACAGTCCAGCAGGACTCGGTACATTGAAACCTGTCAGCAGACCTGGATTCATTAAGGGGTTCATCAGAGAGTTGGTAACGGCTGCAGCAGAATTGTTGTAAAGACCTGCATGACTTGCATCTATTGGCAACCTGTAAAAGAACAGAGAATAGAAAAGAGGGAACGTAAATTCAAATAATTTATACAATTGCACGCACACACACGCAAAAGGCAGTTAATTTTCATCGGAAATCAAAACAAAGCAAAGGAAAAAGAAGCACATCTAATGGTAAGATTTCCTCATTTTAAAAACTGCACACCGTGCATTTATCTGTGCATTCACAACATAGAAAAGCTACAATTAGAAGTTGAATACAATAGGCAGTCTGTGTGTACGTTCAAATAACCAAATCCTACCTTAGTCTGTTTTTCCAGATAAAAGAAAATAAGCGATTGCTTGAAAGCCGTAACAAGTTTAATTTACCCTCCTTGAAAAGATGTGATTGATATTTGAATCCGCAAGGTAACAGTAATAGACGATAAACTTTGTGAACAATAGCAGAACTATTTTAGTTCTATAGAGAGTTTAGTTTGTAGTAACACTTAAACGTACGTGCATACTGATCGACTTTTTTTCATCTATTGGTTCCTTGGAAAATGAATCAGTATTACTTCGAGTTTAGGTTTGATGTCATGAATTTGACAGTGGATAGTAGTGATAACTTTTGGATTACAAGTATAGACCGATGACAATTAGTATCTATTTCTCAATAAGTGAATTTTATGATGCATGAAGCCGAGTGAATAACGCTTAGGTACTTGATGCAACTTCGTTAGTAACTTAGTTTAAGATGGTAAAGCTTATCGTTCTTAGGCAGGACGAAATTTGCTTCATGAATTTTATTGCTAGTTACTATCAAGTGAATGGCTACGGGCGTATGTCTCTGAAGAAGGTCATAAACCAATCGCAAACAAATACTGGAATTGAAGGAAGACTTTCCTGGTGGTCGACTGGAAGGTGACTTAAGTGAATATAAACCCACACTGTCATTAATGCAAACAAAGGGAAGGTAGCGTCTAGTCTAGTGATTGCTGGCTGGTTTGAGCTTCTGTGGGGTCATGGAAAAAAGTCCATCCACCACGCCTGAAACTAAAAAACCAAATAATATCACCAGTGGTCACACATGCCTGTTGTAGGTGTCTCATCCGTGTTAATTTTTCATGGGTAACTGTGATGGAATCAAGTTCATTGACTTTCAACAAGTTGGGCTAGTGAGTTAAACCTTCCTGAGAGGATTTAAAAACCGGCCAACCAACTTCATCAGGTGTTTGAGAGTTTTGTGCTCAAATAAGCTAGACATATCTTATCATTTCAATTAGGAGCATACTGTAAACAGAAAAAGTTAAAGAATCTTTCAGTAATGTTGTTCTTCGCACTATAAATTTCACTTAAAACTTGATCTATAAACGAATCAAAACAAACAAAACTATAACGAAGTATGTGTTATTTAGGGAAAAGTACATCAGTTCAATACCAACGTAATAATCAAGACAATAAGATATTGGATTTGATTACAGGGGATAGGCGATTCATACTGATAGTCAACGACTGGATAAGAAGACCTTTCATGAATAAGTTATAGTGTATTCACTAGGTACTATAACTCCCAAAAGAAGGCGTGGTTTATCTACTAATGGATAGTGTCATAGGCAAGATGAAAGACATCTCAATCAGTCTAAAGAGAAACATTTGAGTACTATCTTGTGCTGAAAAGAAAATAAATCTCCCCTTACACATACACAATTTTACTAACTATAAGATGAATTCAAACAGTTAGATCATAGAAGTATAAAGTTTTTCCATTTGAATACTCGAAAGAATAAAGCCTGTAGAAATAAAACAACCACCGGACTCATTTTAACCCACACAGTTTTATCCAATAAACCAATCACCTGATTCCTATACGTAATCCAGTGTAACACTGTAAGTTGTAGCTTAATGACAAAACCACCAGTTTCCGCAATGAGGGATGCAGACCAAAATCTCTGAAAGAAAATGAATTCCTTGAAGGTTTTAGATACACCATGTTTATTCTTGTCAAAAGGCATAAAAGAAGGCCAATGATCTTGATGACAATTAACACCATACAACGAAAATATTACACCCTAATGTCCTATCATTTAGCTTGCTGACCACTTTGCGAATTTAACTGGTAGGCATGGGCATACAGAAATGAACATTTCCAACTTCATGGGACTCATCGGTTTAAATGCTTCAGTGTCTACTATTGATTCTCGGACAATTTTGTAAAACAGCATTTTATTCATTGTTCTACTGGTATTATCGTTTTGATGAGGATTATTAACTTTCTCCTTGTAGCAATCGTGGGTAAATAGGTTCATGAGCTATACCCTGTTGTAATTTACTGTCAGAAAGCATAAGCCAGTAAGTAATCTGGTAGTTAGAAATTAGGCCAATTCGTGGCGGAGCCAATCGGACAGTGAATAAATGACCTTTAAATGCTCTTGTTCCACTATTGGGGAATATAGAAGTTCACTCCAAAGAATATTTGTAATGTTATCTATTTTGCATACGAGTAGAAAGTTATCCCAGCTACTTATTTTACTCCCTCAAGAGACTCTGAAGGTCATCTTAGAAATGACTGAAATAGCCAATCCTGTTTTTTATTTCAGCTCTTTAGGTGATTTCTTCATAAAACTGAGGAATTCAACTAGTTGGTCGTTATAGCCCCTCACCTTCTTGGACTTCACGTCATTCATTTAATTTGTGGGTAAAACATCCGGAGGTATTCGTATCCTGTCGTTTGGGTTGATCACTTATTTCTCTTTAATTCAAATACTGGGCAGAAAAAATCTGAGTTACACAGCTCAACTAGTAGAGCAGTGGCTAAGTATCTGAAAGATGAATGGTTTTTACTGGGTTAGCACTCTGCGTTTTCAACTTCTTCCACTGTACACCCGTATGGCATGATTTTATTCCATCTGTTCTTGAATTCTTTTAGTTATAGAACATGCATATGGATGGTTATTATTATCTGTAGTTACCGGTACGATACGGTACAACGGATGTAAACATTGAAGCACACTCGTATACATGCACACACACACACTACACGAAAACATACTACAACCATTGGAACACAACAGCTAACTTTACTTGAATAAAATTCGATGATAAAGATTTTACTGATTACTGTAGTAAGTATTACGTGTACTTCTATTACTACTTCTCCTACCAATAATAGTAGTAGTACTAATGACGATCAAACAAGGATATTATAAGAAATAATAAAAGTGGTAACAACAGTTTACACAATGATTACATAAATAAATCAAAACACAGCACTCAGTGAATTGTGAAGAAAGCATAATATATGCGTCTATATGCATGTATGTCAGTGCCTATATGCATGAATATACGCCAGATGATCGAATAAATCAATTTTAATGATCATTAGCTTTGTAAACTCAAAGTAGTAATCGATTTAGTGGGTCATTAAGAAGGTATTATATAAAAATCTAGAAGAAAATATCCTCTTTAAGTGGTTGTTGTTGCTTCTATCGTTAGTATGATTTAATTCAAATGGCGTTTCTATAAGTCACTTATCAAGGTTCAAGATAAATGAAAGTGAGTAACTGTTATCACTATTATCTTTTATTTTGCAAATGAACTTTTGTAAACATACATTTAAGCACACACACGCACTCAAACACCAAGAAAGAAAACAAATGGACACATTAAGAAACCCAAATAAAGTAGGGAACTTCACAACAGATTGAAAAAGCCTACCGGAAAGAATTCACAATGGTGTGAAAATTCAACATAATCCACGAATCACAGCCTTTTAGGAAAATAAATGATAATGATGAATCAATTTTATCAGAGTTTTCGAAGTCAGTTAATAAAGCTTTTGTTTAAATTGTCAATGGTTCAAAGTATTGAACAACAAAAATGGAAGAATAGTATATTCTACATTGAATTATTTTTTGGGAAATATTCGCTTCAGAAATCATTTTATTGTAAACGCTATGTTCTGAAGCTGAAAAAGTTGCCCCAGTAGGCGTGCGTATAGCGTTGATACAGACAATAAGAAACAGTGATCTCCATATTTAGTCGGAACGTCATTAGAAGTAATTCTAATAAAAGGCGGAACATAGAGGGGAATTTTGAATGGTACAAACTGACTTGTAAGCCGTAAAACAGGGTGGTATCCAACAATTTATTTGAGACTTCTGTGTTTCTACTCTATAATTAGTATTTAAGGTACTGTAGAAAGGACACAACAATTAAGGGGATTCAAGTAGACGGCTTCGATTTGATTTAATGACCAAGTGATGAGTGAGATACTGATTTGACTGTTATATATTTTGAAGTAACTAACAGGAAGTGCCTAACTTATATTTCACTCTTTTTGATGGTCATGGGCAAGGGTGTATATGTATCGCTACAAGAAGATTCACTACTTATAAAATCTAAGCTGGCATCGGTCAACAATAGAGTTTTAATCCCTAGAAATTAGATCACGTAAAACATCTACACTTACTTGAATTGGGTTTCTCATAAACACCTCTGTCCTAAAGAAAATCAGTGATTTAGGATTAGATCTTGGGGACGTACGTGCTTTTTACCTGATTTAAGCAAACAATATTCAATCTATCTGCTCGATTGTCGTTTTGATTTTCTACTTAAAGAATTTGACACCTTTCGGTCTGTCGGAAGTATAACTTCATGGTTGGATACTTTACGACACCCTATTAACCTAACTTCGACTTATATTTTGCCTACTTTTTTACTGAAACCGATGTCTTTGATAAGATTTTTTACAGAAAGAAAAAAAGCTTTAGTCACTTAATAAATGGTGGTCTGACCATGTCACCTACAGATTTCTAGTTGGTATAGCTCGGAATGTACACCCATTTTCCTTTAGACTTCAAACATTCTTCCTATGTGTCATCAATCTTTTAATCAAGTTTTACAAAGGAATTCAGGTCTCTTTTGAATGATCTGTCGTGTTTCCTATCAGTTTGGAATCAGATAACAAAGCTTTACTCGACAGTTTCGACTCATATATGAACCAAAAAGTTAATCAAAATGCTGTAAAACTTGATCAACAATAATGTAACTAATCACTACAAAGAGGATGGTATTTCACTGTTTTAAGTCTTGTAATCAGTTAGCATAGGAATCTATCAGTGATGGGAAGCATTCTCGAATTCACAATTTTTGCCCACTCGTTAAATCACACCACTTAGACTAGTTAAACTGAATAACAAGTCCTGTTACTCGAATGGCGGTACTGTAATTAACTAATGCGGTTTCTTAAATGGAGCTGTACAAAGAGTCCCCTTTGTTCACCGTTGGAACTTCTACCACCTGATACTTCAACCTTTAGGACACTTGTATCAAACGGAACAGGTTTAGTATACCAAGCAAAAGGAAATAGAATAATCCAAATGATTCAACCAAACAAAAATCACCGGTTGTACCTCAGTGTTGCCAATGAAACTCAAGTAAGGCGGAACGATAGACGATGATCATCCATGAGAAACTGTCATACACCTCATGTTAAGTTGTGGTGAATTTGATAGCTAATATAATGTTAACATCTCTTCCATCAACAGACCTGCATGGTGAATATGACTGAGTTAACTATCATCAGCTGGTAACGTCGTCTATTTCTTCAATGTGACTGTAATTCACGAGTCACGTAGACTTATTCATGATTGCCACAACTCTCTGTATGGGACTAATGACAATGTCTGATGATGTCTGAGGTTCACGCCCATCACCAAACAGCTGAAACCCAAGCACTTAAAACATCACATGACAATCCAAACTTCAGTTTCTCTATTTTTTGTTGATATGTTTAAGCCACCTAACAACATGGAAGCTTAGTCAATAAAAAATAGCAACCATTTTGATTATTTCTATCAAACTGATGAGTGAATAAACTAATGTAGCAAAAATGTGATTGATTCAGTTATTCACACACAAAATTATGTGATTTTGTTTCATAGGTTGAAGTAATAACTGCTATCATAATCTGTAAGCCAAACCCTAGTTTTCTGGATGGCAAACTGTTCTTTACACTGAAGAACACCAAGTAAAGCCTGATAACAAACATATCTGTTTTCCCACACAGAATTTCCAATGTCCTTTTTTATGATGACATTTCTATGGTAAGCAGTGAGTAACTTTATAGGCAGCATCATCATGAGAACCTTCAGCCGCAATCAGTAAAATACCTGACATTGCAACGTAACAGTTCCAGCAGCCTTAGAACCTTCATAGGATGAAACTCCTATCAAAAGCGAAATGAGCAAGCGGTGAGCACGGTAGCATACTGGCATATATACAACCCTGAGTTACTTAATTGAATTTCTAACGTTTCGTAACCCGAAGAAGGCATTTCTTCAGCAAACCAATAGTTTACAAATTTGAATGTTCGAATAAATTATTGTTACCACTTATATTTTTGTCATTTGTCCCTTGGGTTCTTAGTGGAACATAGGGCTTCAGTAGCATGCCTCAATTCCACTCTCTTCTCTCCAGTCTTTTGAACCTGGCTCCACCGCTGCCCACAAGCTTCTACTTCCTCTTCATATGATCTACTCCATGTCACCCTCACATCGGACTCTCAACTCGCCGTTTACCATTCGGCTTCCACTCAACGGCTTGGCCTGGCGCGTGATGCCTCCGAATGATCTTCTCAGTGTATGCTTAATCCAATCCATCTCCACTTTCTTCCGCATATTTGTTGGGTGATAGGTTCTTGGTTGGTTCGTAACGAGGTTAAAGTTCCTTGTTGCTTATTGTTTCTGGCCATCCACCTGATCCTCAGTGTCAGTATCGAGCCAGCGTAGGCAGCTGTTGGTGAGGCATGTCTGTAGTTTGTTGGAAATGCCTTTCGTAACGTGCCAAATTTCTGAACCATATAGATGCACCGACTTGATGTTGGTGTTAGAAATCTAGATCTTTTTCACGCTTTATGCTGAGTGCAGTAGACCTCCGCACTGGTTTCCGACTAATGAAGTCCGGTCTTGCTGTGTTTCGGATCCTGGCTGCTTTGATATCCTCATCTGTGCCTGTGCCACCTGTGGTTGGAACGATGCTGCCTAGGTAAGTGAAAGAGACTACTTCATTTAGGTTTCTCCCGTTGATGGTGATTGGTGTATGTTGTTGTCAATGTTAGTTGGCAATCTTTATCAGCCCTGTCTACTCTACGTTCACTTGAAGTCCCGTCTTCGGCGCTCCGCCTCTTCTGTCAACTTGTTAGTTTTTGCCTGTAGATCTTCGAGTTTGTGTGACAAGACATTAGACATCAATCATCACCGGAGAAGTCCAAATCTTCTTCGAGGGTCTTTTCATCGGTCCAGCGTATGCCCATCTTCTCGCTCTCCACGGTTTACTGCATGATCCAGCCGACCACAATCAGGAAGACCATCGATGATAATGGGTGGCAGCCTTGTCTTACTCCTTCCTGTCTTCACTTCAAAAGCTACACTGAGCTTTCCACTGTGAATCATTTGGCATGTGGCGTCCTCACATAGCTGTTAAATGAGTTTGATAAAGGTTTGTGGCAGTGAGACCGTAGTGTTGAAGCAGCTGCCTGCCAAACTACTTCTCGGTTGACACTGTCGAAGGCCCTTCAAAGTCGATGAATTTGAGGTTGAGTTGAATTGAGTTGACTGGCATTCTATGCTCTGTTCTATGATGATGAGTAAGGTTGCAATTTGGTCCGCACATGATTTGTTCTTCCAGAAGCCAGCCAGCCTGTTCCGGTCTTAGTTTTGAATCCAGGCATCCTTTAGTCTCTCCAAGATGATGCGGCTTAATATTTTGCTTGCCTTGGGTGGACAGGAGAGTGATTCCACGCCAGTTCTTGCAAACATTGAGGTCTCCCTTCTTCGGGAGTTCGACAAGGTAACCCTTCTTCCAATCTCCAGGTACCTTCCCTTCTTGCAAACCTTCTGCAGTAGTGGTGTGGTGTGAGCATGTCTACTGTTGTCTCTGCGTCTGCTCTCAGTGCTTCTGGCGGGATTCCATCTGGTCTTGCTGCTTTACCGCATTTCAGTAGCTTTATAGCTGTCGATACTTCGACTTTTGTTGGAGGATTTGTGTTCACTTGTAGTTGTGTGGCTGCAGGTGGTATTTGTGGACGAAGTGCAGGTGGTGGTCGATTCAAGAGTTTTTTTGAAGTGGTCATCCCACCCTTTCCTTTGTTTCTCTTCTTTAGTAATTATATTTCCTTCATCATCTTTCATTGGTTTCATCTGTGTTGATCTCTTCCCTTCCAGATAGTAACCTGGTTATTTGATATAATGTTGTCAGATGTCTGTCTCTCCTACCAGCAGTCTGTTCTGCTTCACTTGCCTGCCAGTGTGTCGTAGAAGTGTCTTTTGTCTTTCCGCACACTCTTCTTCACTTCTTTGTCCAGTGTAGTGTTCTATACGTTGTACTCAGTTCCTCTTTTCGTTGTTCACTCCAGCATTGCACTGGTTCATCTTCTGCTTCACCATCTTCCTCTCTCTGCTCTATCAGCTTCCGTGTGTCCATCGAGATCCATTCTTCGTCTTTCCTCTTCTTCTTCCTTCCTAATACGCTCATGCAGGTTTCTTTCCACATCCCTTTCAAAGAGTTCCAGTGTTCTTCCACTCAGGTTTCTTCAGGCATGTTGCTCGATATCTCCCATTTTGTCTTGATGGCTGGCTGCCGTGAAGATTTTCTTTGTAGTTTCGTCCTTCAATTAGTTTCAGTTCTGGGTGTTGAACTTCAACTGTGGTCTACACAACTTCCTTGAAGGCTTTCAACTTGATTTGAAAGGCAGGTTCGTTGCACTAGATAGTGAGTGGTGTGAACCTACATCTGCTCGCCCTCTTCATCTTGTGTCCAGTAGGCTGTGTCTCCACTTTCTTCACATTCAGGTGAAGTCGATGTGATTTTAGTGTGTCCTGGTGTCTGGTGAAATTAAGACCGTGTCGGTTTGTGGATATCCTTGTGCTTGAACACACTGCCTCCTCTCCAATCACCAAATCGTTGAATGCAAAGAATTCTGCAAACAGTTCTCCATTCTCGTTCATCACCTCACCGAACGCTTCTCGGTCCATGGTTTGTTCTCTTCCTGTGTTGTCCGCTCCCAGTTTGGTATTCATGTCATCCCACGCCTTAGAATGAATTTTGATGTCGCCAACTTGGGTGGGGTCTTGTTCATGCGTTGATTGCAGTTGTCTGTAGAATTCCTCCTTCTTCTCTTCATCTGCATTATTTGTGGGTGCATGGCGTAGCACTGTATGATTGTGACCTTCCTTCCTTCCTACCTTTTGAATTGAACCCTGCTGTTATGATCCTGGATGAGGAGATTGGTTCCCACTGCATGAGAGCCTCCGATGCTCTTGGGGACATCATGGTAGCCACTCCAAAACTTAGTGTGCTCGTGGTTGTCATCTGGGTGACAATATTGGAGTAGATTATTGACTCTCGAGTTGACAGTTTAGAGAGTTCACTTCCATTCCATCTGCTTTCGCAAATTCCTAGCGCTTCAATGGGATACCTCTCATCTCGTTTGTAATCTGCGCTGCGCCTTGCTGGGTTCAAACATGGTGCAGACATTGCATGTCGCCACGTTTACTTTCGCTTTGATGGAGGGAGAGAAGACACATCGGCCCGTCCGATTGGCTTCCCGAAGGCTTTCACCAACTGATGTCATTTTGCCTCTCCGATTCCAGTGAGGAATAAGTTTAATTCTATGTTTTATGTTTACTCTGTGCTTTGAAGTTTCTTTAGAGGTTGGATTTGTTTTCCGGGGTAGGGTTGCTAGCCCTATGCCCAACCTTCCGTGTTTCTCCTGGCTTAGGACCGGCTAGTAACTAGTGAACTAGTTACCTAGGCGAGGTTGTTTAACGTCTTAAATGAGAAGATGGATCATTAAATTATGTTCAACAATATGGAAAAGCTGTTTATCTTACCCAGTTTGAAGAGGGAAGAAAGCCGGCATCGCAGTGTTGGCTGTAAAGAAAATAACCAAACAAAAGTGTTAATCACAGTGCGAAAAGATTTGAATGTGGTGAATAAGAGCAATGTAGAGAATTACCAGCTTTACGTAAAGTACTCTTATTCTTAAGATTTTCTAAGGATAGTTCTAAAGTGATAAATTTTTAAAATCAATTGTTGCGTTGTGGTGTGGGAAAGTACGGAATTGAAGTGGGTCTTATCACTGTCATTTTACAAAAGAAACATTATCCACTACCGACCACACAGAGATTAGAAACTTCATCAACTTCCAGTGTTGATGGTATCCATTTGATTGCATTTCAAACTGTTAAATATTTTCAAAGATAAGGTGAAGTATCTGTTTGATCCTCTATGTTAATCACTAAACTGACGTCATCTCCCGATGCTTTTGAAACTGATGGCATAAATAAAAGTGCATAATTCTTAGTGGTAAGCTTCATAAACAGCATTCCCGCATTTTTCGCGGAGAAACTATGGTTTGTGATGAAAAAGCTTAACCAGATAGTATCAACAACTGTTAAGTCTCCATCACCCATTCCATTGATATTCACCCTGAAGCTGTGTCATTGTTAGTAAAAAGATTCCCGTAAGTACATCTTCACTTAATGAGTCATTCAGAGAGAATTAACAGTTTTGACTGTTGTTTAACTGTGAGGCTTTCATCATCTTTCTAGACGACATCATCATCACTAACTTCAGTATGAAGTGGGCCGTCAGTATCTCTCTGCGAGTGACTTAGTAGCTTGCCTTGACGAAGTGATCTGTGACTGGTTGTTTCCTTTGATTGTTGTGTCATTGACTGTATAGAGTTTCCTCCTGACTGTCCCTCTGCTTAACCTCTGACCTTTCTGTCGTTAAACATTTTTCTCATTCGCTGATAGATTGGGTCAATGTCTATACATCTGTTGACTGCTGACTGACTGACCTGAATGCCAAGCTTCTGGGAATTACGTTGAATATTCTCATTTAGACACTTAGAAAAAGACTGATTGAGCGAAGAAATATATTTCTTTTCAATTAGGTCTTCATCTTGGGATCTACACTAATATATAGGTTTACAATTTAATCAAATTACCAATCACGTGGTGATGTTTCGGAAATAATGAGGTAAATAATCAATAGAGTTACTACAATAGGAAATATGAATATTGATAGAAACAAGAAGGGGAAGAGGTGCACAAAATAAACCTAGAAGTTACATCATGTTGACGGCCAGGGTAATGAAAGTGGTCGAACAAACTTCTTTTGGATACAAAGGCTAGGTTTGTAAAGGTGGATTGCAATTGCCTCTGCTATGTGAAGTAACCGAGTGCGTAATCCATGAGGTAAATTAATTGGAATCTGATGGATAATTTTGAAGGCTTTTCCAGTAACCACTTGATGTCCTGTGCCAACTAAGTGTGCAAGTATGGAGCTCTTTATAGTTCTAATTTGTTCCATGTTCAACCGTGATGGGTAGTGCTCAGAAATTCGACGATGGAACTGCCTCATTGGTAATTTGATTAAATCGTAAACCTATATATTAGTGTAGAGCCCAAGATGAAGACCTAATTGAAAAGAAATATATTTCTTCACTCAGTCAGTCTTTTTCTGGGAATTATCTCATATTCTTTGTGTTTCCTATGTCCAAAATGTCTACATTGTCAAAATTGAGTTCATGTCCATAGTTATCCACGTGCATTGAAATGAGTGGCAAAATGTCGTGACGTTTAACAGCCAATTGGTGTTCATGTAGACAAAGGCAAAGAAGGCAACCACTTTGTCCAATTTGGTGTTGACTACAGTTATTGCAGTTGATTTTGTAAATGATATTCGGTTTGTCTTCTTTTGTTATCGTATCCTTTGTTCTGCATAATAGTGTTTGGAGGGAATTTGTTGATTTATGAGCCATACCGATTCCATCAAGTGGTCTCAGTAGTCTTGTCGTGATTTCTGACGTATTCTTTATGTATGGTAGGATGATGCGTTTATTGATTTCTGTCGATGACTTTGTAGTTGATGATGTACGGGTTTCGCGGGTAGCCGTTCTTCTTTAGGATGGACATCAAGTAATTTCCTTCATTTCTCTATGTTCTTGCTCTTTTAAATAGAGTCTGGACGCAACTGATCGTGTACGTTGTTGGGTTGTTACTACTGTAGTTAAGGATTTGATGAGTGTGTGTTGGCTTCATGTACACTTGGGTTTCCAGCTTTCCTGCATTTATCCTACTGACTAAAACATCCAGGAATGGTAGTTGGTTGTTTGACTCCTTCTCCATTGTAAATCTGATCTCACTGAAAACGTTGCTGATCAAGTTGTGGGTGTTTTCTATATCATTCTTTTTAATGATGACAAAAGTGTTGTCCACATAGCGAATCCAAATTTTTGGTTTGATCATAGGTAGAATAATGGCTTCCAGTCTCTGCATCACTGCTTCCGCAATTAGTTCGGATATCGGTGATGCCATTGGAGTTCCTTTCATCTGTTTGTATATCTTGGTGTTGAAGTGGAAGTATGTTGTCAGACAAAGGTTGATGATTTCCATCAGACTTCAATAATTGAATTTCGTGTGTTCTGAAAGGTTTTTGTCTTCATTGAGTAAGAGGGGCATTGTTTCCTTGGCCAGCTGGGGCTTGATGGATGTGTATAGTGTTGTGACATCGAAGGATACCATTAATTCGTCGTTTCCTATGTTAATGTTTCTGATCTTTTCTAAGAATTCAGTTGGTGACTTGATGGAATGTCCGCAGGATTGAACAAGGTATTTCAGTTTTTACGAAAGTTCTCTTGATATGTTGTATGTTGGAGTTCCTGGAAGTGAGACAACTGGTGGTAAAGGGATGTTTGGTTTGTGTATTTTTGGTGTGCCGTAGAACCAAGGAAAGACAGGTCCATTTGATTTCATTCTCCATTTGTCGTGCTGTGTTATTTCTTCTGCTTTGAAGAATTTGTTCAAGGTTTCGTTCATCTGGTCTTCGAACTTCTGGATAGGGTTGGTTTCAAGTGGTTGATATACATTTTCCTCTTTGAGTGATTCCTCTGCCTTCTTAGTGTAGTCTTCTTTATCCATGACTACTGTAGTGCATCCTTTCTCTGCTGGAAGTACAACGATATCTCTTTTTATTTTTCAGTCTTTTTAACTTTTCTATTCTTGAGTGTTCATTTGAGTGTGATGTCTCTCCTGTCAAGTCAGTGGTACGATTGTTTGCCGTCTTTATTGTTGAGTGGCCCCACTTAATCCTGATGTTTTAAGCGACGATTCTAATGCCGCAAAGAATTCTGATTTCGAGGCATCTCGTGTGTTGTAATCCAATCCTTTTTGAAGTTCATACTTCATATTGATGTCAGTGATGGTGATATCGTCTAGAAAGACGATAAAAGCTTCACGATTAAACAACCCAGCTCAAAGAATGTGATACGACCAAGTTTTCACTTAACACTTGCGGCATCTTTTACATAGGACTCTAAAGACTAAAATCTTCATCAGGAACCCAGAAAATATCTAATTAAAAAGTCTCACCTATGCTTGAAGTAGAAGGTAAGATGTTGTTTACTTTATTTTGCCTTGTAAAAGTTCCCGTCACTGAACACCAGCAAGGGCCTTATCGGGACTAGGCTATGTGACGGAAACATTTCACATAATTTGGAAGAATCAAAAAATAGAATACAGGGCTGTTGTCTAAAATTATAAACCGACTTGTTGGTATGATCTTTTTATAAAAACAGCTACACTACTGGCACTTTTAAAAGTAGTTAAACAAATCAGACGAAAGTATTGTCTTAGTCATGAATTTTTATTAAATGTTAGAGACCAGATATGTATAGCCTTACAAATATTCCAAATAACTCCCTTCTCAAGTTCAATATCTCCAAATCTTAAGGTGTCATCACAAAGCAGCTAATGTTTCCTGCAGATAAACCAATGTTTGAAACAGACAGCAACGTTTGGAGATTGAACTGATGAAAGTGAATCTAGAAGACTACATAAAAGTTGTTAGATGGCTGAAATTAATGAACAGTAATCTCGGTTTCGCGCTAGTTAATACTAGTAATAATAGCCTACTGTCAACCTGGCTGGAACTGGTGACCCTTAGGGATCAAAACCTATTTCATTTAGTGCTTCAGTTTGAAATCCTTCCAATGAGCTTTTGGGGCTGCGACTGACCTTCTGTATTACTAGAATACATTCACTGATTGATCTTTGAAGCGTAACCAGTTTCATGTTATCTAGTCCTAGGGGCTGATAGAATTCTGATGCTCACTCTGCATTCTGGCCACCAGTTTAGGTCACTGTATGCCTCAGTGCAGTTTGATTGTTTTTAGGTGGTTGGGGACTACCGGAGGAAACTTTTCTGCTAAGTTTCATGCCTGTTGTCACTTGTCAGCAAAGTGTATCGGTAGTCAATCAGTGTATGGTTTAATAGTTGATCAGCTCTGATATTTGAATTAAACTCATACAAAATAGATGGTTAGTTGAAACCACAGATTATATGACTGATGGGTAATGTTAATGTTTTGCTATTGGTGGTTTCATAACTTTGAGTTATAAGAAGGAAGCTGTTGAAAACAACTGTTCGTTAAAATCCATCTTGTATAAAATAAAATAACTTCACGTAAAACTCCTATTCTTTATTCGCATCTCTTTTATTTTTGTAAAAGTATCTAATTAATTTTTCCGAGAAAGAAATTTATGGTAGGGTGATAGGTTCTGTAAATATGCCTACATAAATCCATGACAGAACATAGGAAGAGAAGGATAGTAATTCTCAGGAGAATACAGAAGCAAAGAAGAGGTTGACAGAGAAAATCACTATAACTGTGCTTGAGAGAAGAGTAATACCCAGTAGTTATTCTCTTTGTAGTCCCTGGTTTTATTCAGCAGTAAAGTATTGTTTTACGAAGTAGGGAGAGGGAGGGAGAGAAGGCGGGTGGGGACGCGTGCACTGTCCTTTAGACAAGGTTCATTCTTTGTACATGTTTGTATGAAAGTGTGTTGACATGTATATTATTGTTT